CTTCTCGAAGGCCGCCGCGCTCTGCGACAACCCATGACATGGAGTACCCAACTATCATGGGCTTCCCCTACTACCCCCTTCTCTAGGGTTTAGGGTTTAGGGTTTAGGGTTTAGGGTTTAGTACTCCGGCGGGTTTGCCCGATACTTTTCCAGGGAGGTCACTTAGCACCCGTGTTCAGAAGGTCCCGGGAAGTATCGGGTTCGGTGCCCTTGTAGCAGCAAAAAGCGCCGGGGAACTTAGGCCAAACGTAGGGCTGTCCTTCGGGTTTAGGGTTTAGGGTTTAGGGTTTGGGGTTTAGGGTTTAGGGTTTAGGGTTCAAGAGCTGTTTGGGACAGGGGCTCTTGTACACTTGCTGGGTAGAGACCGTTAGGTTGCTTGGGGGCTTGGGGTTGAATTGTAGAAGCAGCCAATCCTTCTTAGTTATGCTTATAAATCCCAATAAACCCTAAACCCTGAACCCTGAAACCTGAACTATTGCCTGCCCTGAACTCTTGGGGTTAGGGATCTAGGGGTCGTTCTATGGGCCCTTCATGTGGTCTCTTACCTCCTCGAAAGGGTTCTGAAGTATGGGCCCTTGGGTTGTATAGTATAGAGTGGTTTAGGGCGGGCCCGGTCAGAATCCCGACGCTGCCGTCCTGAGTTGGGGTCTAGGGTTTTAGGGTTTTTGGGTTTAGGATTTAGGGTTTTGGGCTCCTTAAGTCATGTCCAGCAATCTGCAGGAGGCCTGGATTCACAGGATTCTCGTAAACTTAGTAGTAGAATACGTGAACTTTAACCTTCTTGGGGTATTTTCATCCCCACATAATCCCAAAGGTTAGCCTTGATATAGTTCATCTAGAAGACTGGACAACGAAGTCAGCCCTTGCTACTATTTTCTTGAGAAACTCAAAACATGTAAAGTGCAAATCCCTTTTTTGCCCTTATCAGGAAGACTATTTCCCTAAACCCTAAACCCTAAACCCAAAACCCTAAACCCTAAACCCTAAACCTGATATATTTTTTTTGGGGGGGGGGGTTCTTACGCAAATCGTAGCTTGGTTCTGGAGGCCGACTGGAAATTCAACAACCTCCCTGTCTACGAGCGCGGCTATCCGGAGGCCATGGCCTAGCTTAGGGTTTAGGGTTTAGGGTTTAGGGTTTAGGGTTTAGGGTTTAGGGTTTAGGGTTTAGGGTTGAGGGTTTAGGGTTTAGGGTTTAGGGTTTAGGGTTTAGGGTAAGTTCAGGGTTTAGGGTTACCATACGAAGCCCTTTGGACTTCGGCAAGTAGGCTGTGGAAGGTGGGTTATGGGGATGCTAATGGGGATTCCGAAGTCGACTTACTAAGTGGAAAGAGCTTCCACACAGTGGTGTACAACCCTAAACCCTAAACCCTAAACCCTAAACCCTAAACCCTATGGTACCTGAAGCTGCTCCAGGAAGCCTCTGGTTGAGGATTGCCCTCGAGGTCAGCTTGTCGGATTTAGGGTTTCGGGGCCCAGGTCTCAGGCTGTTGAAGGTTTAGGGTTTAGGGTTTAGGGATTAGGGTTTAGGGTTTGGGGTTTAGGGTTTTTGAGGGCTTTTGGTGCTTAGGCTTTCGCCCGAGCACAGAAGCCGTTGAGTAGGCGTACATCTTCTACGGCTGGAACGAGGATGGCAAGAAGCGAGGCCTGTTGGGAGATGACCGGATCAGGACTTGCAGGGGCTAAAATGAATGGGTTTAGGGTTTAGGGTTTCGGGTTTCGGGTTTCGGGTTTAGGGTTTAGGGGCTTTGTTGTCACGGTTGCGTGCTATGCCTTAAAACGTAAGCTGCGAGCCAAAGGAATGATGGCTCTGAGCCTTGCTCATGAAGTCTTAGGGTTTAGGGTTTAGCAAAAAGGGTTTAGGGTTAGGGTTTAGGGTTTAGGCTCAGACGCGTCTAGATGAACTGCGACCTGTTCTGGGTGGTTAGCCTTTCCCTTCCCGAAGGTTGGTTTGTGGCCTCGCGCGTTCCCAAATCTGGATCGGTGAAGCGATACAAGCCCCTTGGAGTCATCTGGGGGTTGTCGAGGTGCGTCGTGGTTCGTAAGCCCTAAACCCGTATGGCTCCCTATGGCGCACGCAGCCCCTAGATCATGTAGCAGAGACCATCGACCCCAACCCTAAACCCTAAACGCCAAACCTTGGGTGGACTGAGGATGTTCAATCCCTCCAGCCATGCTGCAGGACCTGTTGTTGTGAACCGAGGCCATTGCAAAGGTGCTTTAATCCTCTACTGAGTAAGGTTGAAAGCCAGATATAGCTGAACCCTGATCCCCGAACCCGAAATTTCAGGCCTAGCGGCACGGGCCGGCCCCCGCCCCCCAAAGCACGAAACCTTGAACCTTGGCACTGTCTTCTCTTTCCCGTGTGTTTGTCCTCTAGCCGTTCGAGCGCGTAAAATGAGCGATTTTAGGGGCGTTTTTACGTGAACCCACAAAACACTCGGTATTTACGAGGTTGTCTGCTGTTGGAACCCCCCCCCAAAACAAGCATCATGAGCATCAGCTGGGTCTCTGGGCCGTGGGCCCGGAGGCCCACGAAGCCCATGAGAAACGATGGCTCGATGATGCGCCCGGACCCCCGCGCATCAGCAGCATCAGCAGACCCCCCCCGGACATGGGTTTCGATGATGCGCACTTTGGGGGCGGGTCAAGGGCAACAAGGGTGGGGGTCGGAGGCACGCGTGAAAAACCTCATAAAAACACGGTATTTACGGTGATTTCAGCGTTTTTCAGCGTTTTTTATTGCCTTGGGGCCGCGGGCCAGGGCTGCTGATGCTCATGATGCTCGCCTGGTTTTGGGCTTCCGGTACCCCCCCAAACCTTGAAAAACGTGGTTTCGGCCTGGCGCGCGCCCCATGTGAAAAGCTAGGGCCGATGATGCGCGCCCGTGAGGGTTTAATGGGGTGCTGCGGGTGTTTTGTGGCCTCGGTTTTTCGTAAAAACCCATGGTTTTTACGAGGTTTTCGTGCTTTTCGCACCACCGCGAGCATAGTTGAAAGGTTTAAACGCGCTCGTCAGCTCAAAGGATGCCAAAAGTTGATTTGCTTGAGCCTCTGTGAAACGTTGGGGGCGGGGGGGGGGTAGGGGGTAGCACCAGAGCTGCCCGGGTACCCCCCCCTACCCCCCCCCCCCCGTTTTGGGGGGGTAAGGAGGGAAAGAGGGAGGTTTTCACCTCCTTTTCCCATCCAACACGCCGCCAGCATCGGCGGACCCGAAACCCTAAACCCTAAACCCCAAACCCCAAACCCTAACCTGGAAGATGTGGGAGTTGAGGGCGAACCCCTGCTGCAATGAGGCTCATGAGGAGCCCTTTGTTAGGGTTTAGGGCTAGGGTTTAGGGTTCAGGCTTCAGGGTTCAGGGTTCAGGGTTTGGGGTTTGGGGGGGGGGGGGGGGCCCTGGAAGCACAAAAAGAGGCATCAAGCAAGGTCGACGGAAGCTTTTCGGAGGTGACTTTGAACATCTCAACGCATGTCGATCTAGGGTTTAAGGGGGTGGTTCCGGCCAAAAGCCCTGAAGCCCTGAAGCCCTAAACCCTAAACCCGAAACCCGAAACCCTAAACAAAAAAAGCGGAGCCTTTCGCAGGACCTCACCTTTGCACGGCAATCTGGAGAAATCCCTCTGGGAAGCTGGACCCGGGTGTCGGTTGCCCCCCAAAACTTAGGGCCCTACAAACCCTAAACCTTAAGCCCTGCATCCGCTTAGGGTTTAGGGTTTAGGGTTTAGGGTTTAGGGTTTAGGGTTTAGGGTTTAGGGTTTAGGGTTTACGGGGGGTATTGTTGGGGGGGGCTCTTCTGGGGCTTGTTGCATGGCACTGAAGAACTTTTTGGGCCGCCCAGTGGTGCCCTTTCCCTTTCTTGCTGGTTTAGGGTTTAGGGTTTGAGGTTTAGGGTTTAGGGTTTAGGGTGTAGGGTTTTAGGGTTTAGGGTTTAGGGTTTAGGGTCTAGGGTCTAGGGTTTAGGGCGAATCCAAGTTCAGTTCACAAGCAACCGGGTTCCTTTCTCCCGTGGGTTAAAATTGGGAACCGGCGTCTCAGACCCTGAACTTCGCGCCGGGTTTCGGTTTTTTTGGGCTTAGTGTGTAAGGGTTCTACTAACAGTCCTTAATGAGGACCATAGTAGGGGGTACTACAATCCAGTTTAAGGACTGTTAGTATAAGGCTTATACCAACTCAGCCAGAAATCCCGCTCAGCCAGGGTCCATGGCGCCCTTACACCTTCCTCTCTTCGGGATTCCTTCTGACAAGCCCTGAACCCTGAATCATAGCCAGGGTTTATGGGCCCCTACACCCTCCTCTCCCCACATAACTTGGAAGCCTTTTCGACTTAGTTCGTGGCGTTAGCAAGGTGGGATTCTACTAGGGGATACGAAGTAGACTAGAACGGGGGCTCGAGCCCCAAGAGAGCACACCCCTATTTGCTTAAGAACCCCCCCCTCACCAGAAAAGAAAAGAAACACAAAAAACTCAAAAAGACTCTTCCATTTACGGGCAATATAGAGATTATTCGTCAATATTTTTGGGGGTTCTTATGCAAATAGTAGAAGGCCTCTTCCTGTTGCTTTGTCATCCAAGCACCATCTTCAAAACATATTCAACATACCCATTGGGCGTTCCCCTTAACAGAAATTATGGGTACAGGTTCAGAGGTTTAGGGTCTAGGGTCTAGGGCTTATGGGGTTTTGGGGGGTATGGCTTGAGGGTATGTTGAATTATTCTTAGAAATGTCCCTTCGCAAGGGCAGTTGGGCAGGGCCGGGCATGAGAGTCACTTGCCAGATGGTGGTAGCTTGCGATGTTCCCCCTGATACTAACAGTCCTTAATAGGGATTACGAATAGGGGGTAGTATACTTTCTAGTAAGGACTGTTCGCAAAAGGGAGAACATCCCAAGTGAAAGCACGTGCTGCGCTGCTGCACGATCTAGTACAAAACTCGCAGCGCACCACAAGAGACCTCATAACCCAGCACCTCGAATGTCAGCAGCGCACGCAAGGCACCTGGCATGCTTGAGCCATGCGCGGAAGATGAGGGGAGCTTTCTTACTTTGCAAGGTGCGAAGCAAGGTGGCCAGAATGAAAGTTGCGCAGGAGCCGGTCATGTCCATCAGCAGCAGGCATCGCGAATCGGAGGAGTCAGCCGACGAATGTGCGGGATTTGGTTGCTCTTGGCAGTTGTCGTTCTGCTCCAGGTTTGGGAACGTGCAGCCGGAGCCTCGGAGTCTTTGGTGAAGAGCGCTCCGGACATTGGTCATGCGGAGCAAGACGTGACGCAGGTTACGACACCGGCAACGCAGGAAGATGGGATCGATCCTGAGCCGACAGTGCGATATGTGCCTCCGCTGGTGCAACACAGCCCGCAAACGGCCAAGCCGCACTACGACCTGTTGGTCATAATACCTGCAAGTGGCGGCCGAGACCGGACACGCATCCAAACGGTCCGGCAGACGTGGGTCCGGGAAATCGACAAGAGGACTAACTTGTGCAACAGGTGCAAGAGCAATCGCACGATCAGGTACTTCTTTATCTTGGGCGACGAGGCAAGTGCCGAGGAGAAAGTTAACCGGCATGTGCACAACGAGGGGATGCCAGAGGCAAACTTGATGGAGAGCATTCAGAATCAGACAAGCAATCAAAGTCGGAATCAGACCATGGCCGCTTCAGATATCATCGCCTTGTCACGGTGCAGCAGTGCATACATTCGTCTTGCGGAGAAAGTCCGGAAGGCAATTCGTTTTGTCACCACGCACTACAGCTTCCTCCTGCTCTTGAAGACAGACACAGACTCATGGATATTCCTCGATACACTGCTGGCTTTCGCCGAAGCAAATGACTTGTTCAACAGGCGCTCCGTCCATGCCGGTGATGTGCGCAGAGGTGCCAGGCCGGTACAGCCAAAGTCGGGTGGGAAAAATCCGGATGAGGTGTTCACCCGCATGACAGGTCAGCCGACATACCCAACCTTCGCTGCGGGGTGTGGTTACCTCCTGACGCGGAACCTGTGCAACTACATTGCTCTTCTGGCCGCGGAGGATTCAGACTTGCCTGGTCTTGCAGAGCTGCCGCAAGAGGATGTGGCAGTGGGGTTCTGGCTGCAGGCTCTTGAACACGAGATTGTGAGGGCACCCATGTCACCGATGGCCGATGGCTGCCTAAAAGGCTCGGGCAATCGCACAAAGTTGGTGCTTGACCATTATGTCCCGATTTCTGAGATGCATCGCAGAGCACGCAACTTGCGGGAACATGGAAATCCTTGCGGCAAAGGCGAGTAGGGATGAGCGCCCATTGAGGTCTCGCAGGTGGCGCTCTAAAGTGGCAGACGTGGATCTTCATGGCGCAGAGGACGCGTTACTGGACCAGCGAGGTGAAACAGCAGGCCTACCGAGGCGTTTACTGACCTGGGAGTAGACATCCATACGGTTAGCCCATCTATAAGTCATGAATCATGCCGCCGACGATGTAAGGGCCAACGTGCCTCCGGTCCTAGCCAAAAAGGAAAGAAAGGTCCGGGTGACCCGGCGTGCTGACACTTTGCTTGCGATTGGGATTGTATGATTGTATTAAACGAGAGCCCGCCGCCCTTCACCTTGGCTGCAAGGCCTAATCCTCAACCCTGTAATTCGACCCCAACCACCTGTCAAAACCTTAGGTTTAGCATTGGGCTGGGCTCGCGGCCGGATGATAAACTGAATGAGTGGTTTGACGATGAAGCGAAATCGTTTGCTCTTCTGGACTGCGCATACCTGCACGTAGCTGTATGTAGCTGCATGTAGTTACTTTTTCCTGGGTGTTGAGCCTTCTGTGCATGTGTTGGGGGGTCATCTTTGAAGATCTCTGGATCCTCCTAAAGCATCTAGGGAGTAGACAAAAGAAGTTGCCTGCAAGAATCGTGGCCCTCCCTGCAGTGCGAGTTCGCCCAGCAAAGGAGCCCTAAACCCTCCCTAATGCGCCAAATCGTCAACTCCAAGCCCTACACCCTAAACCCTAAACCCTCATCCTGCATAGGACAAGCGCCTCTTCTGCATGGCCGAGAGCCATGAGGTTTGGGAGGAGACGGAGCCTGGGCATGGCAACCAGGTCTACTTAAGGAGGGTTTAGGGTTTAGGGTTTAGGGTTTAGGGTTTCGGGGGCCCCCTTACTATGTAAACTATAGCTAAGTGACTTATCCTTAAGCTTCTAACCCAATTTCGGGCCCTTATAACTCTATCTTTAAAAAACAGGCGATATGGCTCCTTCTCTGAAGCATCGCCATGGCGCCCGTCACACCTGAACCCTATAAGCCCCAAACCTTAGCCAAAAAGTTGGCTCAAGCAATGTTCAGCTCCGATGCTCAGCTTGATGGGTTTCCTGTCCGAGCCTGCCAGTCAGGGTTTAGGGTTTAGGGTTTAGGGTTTAGGGTTTAGGGTTTAGGGTTCAGGGTTCAGGGTTTAGGGTTTAGGGTTTAGGGTCAAAGCAGCAAACGAAGCAACACTCACATGTGCATCGGCTGGGTCTGGAGGTAGTCGTCCGGTCACGCTTCCTGGTAGATGCAATGTAATTACGGAGCAGGTTTTCTGCGCACACGGGGGCAGCCAGCAGCTCGCTCGCAAGCCAGCTGCCCACTTCGTCCTTTGCTCCTGCTTGGATGCCTTTGCATACTCCTGGGCGTGACTTGGGCATTCAGCCTGGCTGCGCCCCTGAAACCAGGTCAGGAGGCTGAGGCCTTCAACGCCCTCATGTCTGCTGCGAGGCAGTTGGAGCTTGACTTTGAAGGGGCAACTTCGAACAGCTCCGCGGGCAGTGAGTTTCTTAGTGGCTGAAGGAGTACACTTGAGACTTGCTGGGATACAATACTCCCCTATAGAACTGAAAGTGTGCGCTTTTTTTTGAGGGGGGGGACACCCTAAACCCTAAACCCTAACCCCTAAACCCTAAACCCTAAACCCTAAGCCGCTTATGAACTCAGCAAATAAGGTTTGACTACGAGGGCGCTTTTGAGGAGGGGCTCGGGCACGTCTCCTCGGCTTGGTCCTCCGCAGTGGAGGGGCGAGACCCTTTGGTAGCCAAGTGGGGTGACGGTTTGCTCTTTTTGGGGGCAAAGTAACCAACCTAAACCCTGAACCCTAAACCTTAAACCCTAAACCCTAAACCCCCAAGAAATTTACCCTCATGAAAAAGAGTAGTTGCTGGGCTACCAAGGACCTGCGAGAGGTGAGTATAGGGGTCGAGGCTGACTGGATCAAAGCTGCCTGCGGCTCATTGATTCTGACCCTCCTGATCGACTTCGAACCTTGGTAGCCCAGTGGTACCCTTTACCCTTTTTTTTTTTGGTTCTGGGTTCCCTTGGTGCCCTTATGAAAACATGGTTACTGGGCTACGAAGGAAAAAGGCCCCCCGATTCAGCTGGAGTTCCGGCTCTTTGGCGGAAGCTCGTGGGACAAGAGCTTTCCAGGCGAGTCCACTTTCTGGGAAGTTGCGGAAGAGCAGCTGAGTCTGGGTCCCGATGGTTGGAGCCAGGCTGCTAGCCTGCTTCCCTTCGAGGAAGAGCCAGCCGAGCAGGAGGAGGGGGAGGAGGGGGACGACGGAGCATTCCCTCCCTACCCGGACATTTACCCTGCCGTGGTGGCGAGGTTTTTCGCCGAGCATCTCAACTTCACAAGGCTGGCGGGCCTGCGGTGCGCCGGAAGATGTGAGGAAGTCCCTGGAGAAAGTCTTTGCAAGCCTGGCTATTTCAGGTTTACCACCGCGTAGCGGCAAGCAAGAGGGCGTACCCTATGCCAGCTGCTCGTGTTGGAGTTCGGGAAACCCAAATTGTGTTTTGAATCTCGGCGTTCGGGGGGTTTTTAAAAAAGAGGGGGTGGCAATGAACTGGGTCTGGGGGTCTGAGGTAGCAGCTTCTGCGCCATTGAAGTCTTAAGCAATCTGCCGTAAGATTTTGGATTCCAAGCACGGACCCCCCTCATATAGGTCTTTTTGGACATATTAGCCTCGATCCGTCTCCCAATGGAAAAGTAGTCTTGGACCGGGATCCCCGAGCCCGCCGAAGATTATGATCCCCACCCCATCTTTACATGTGAGGTGAACATCAGGGTTTAGGGTTTAGGGTCCGATGTCAAAGAGGGTTTAGGGTTTAGGGTTTCGGGGGCCCCCTTACTATGCTGACTATTATAAGCTAAGATCTGACCCTTACAGCTTCTAACCCAACTTCGGGCCCTTACAACTCTACTTGCAACTAGGGCGGCCCTTCTTGTAGGGCTTCTTGCAGTGCGAGGCATTTGTCCATGCATCTAGCAGGCGATATGGCTCCTTCTCTAAAGCATCGCCATGGCGCCCGCCACACCTGAACCCTAGAAGCCCCAAACCGTAGCCAAATTTGGCTCAAGCAATGCTCAGAGCCGATGCTCAGCTTCATGGGTTTGCTGTCCGAGCCTGCCGGTTTAGGGGTTTAGGGTTTAGGGTTACGGTTTAGGGTTTTGGGTTTAGGTTATAGGGTTTAGGGTTTAGGGTTTAGGGTTTAGGGTGTGCACAATGCGCACACCACTCGTCAAAGCAGCAAACGAAGCAACACTCACATGTGCATCGGCAGGGTTTGGAGGTAGTCGTCCCGTCACGCTTCATGGCAGATGCAATGTACGGAGCAGGCTTTCTGCGCACTCGGAGGCAGCGAGCGGCTTGCTTGCAAGCCAGCTGCCCACTTCGTCCTTTCCTCCTGCTTGGATGCCTTGGCATACTCCTGGGCGTGACTTGGGCATTCAGCCTGGCTCCGCCCTTTAAAGCGGGTCAGGAGGCCAAGGCCATTCAAGCCCTGATGTCTGCTGCGAGGCAGTTGGAGCTTGGCTTTGAAGGGGTGACTATGAACAGCACCGCCGTCTGTGAGTTTCTTAGTGGCTGAAGAAGTACACATAGTACACTTGAGACTTTCTGGGATACTAGTGTACGCTTTGTTTTTTTTTTGGGGGGGGGAGCTTATGAACTCAGCAAATAAGCTTTGACTACGGCGACGTTGATTTCGAGGAGGGGCTGGGGCATGTCTCCTCGGCTTGGTCTTCCGCAGTGGAAGGGCGAGACCCTTGGTAGCCCAGGAGGGTGCCCGTTTGCCCTTTTTTGTGGGTTCTATAGGTTCTCTTACAAATTAGCCAACCCAGAAAAGGGCGCCCTTGATATGACATGGTTACTGGGCCACCAAGGGCCTGCGAGAGGTGAGCATAGGGGTCGAGGCTGACTGGATCAAAGCTGCCTGTGGCTCATTGATTCTGACCTTCCTGATCGACTTCGAAACAGGTCCCCCTATTCAGCTGGAGTTCCAGCTCTTTGGCGGAAGCTGGTTGGACAAGAGCTTTCCAGGCGAGTCCGCTTTCTGGGAAGTTGCGGAAGAGCAGCTGAGTCTGGGTCCCGATGGTTGGAGCCAGGCTGCCCGCCTGCTTCCCTTTGAGGAAGAGCCAGCGGAGGAGGGGGAGGAGAAGGAGGAGGACGACGACGATGAAGCATACCCTCCCTACCCAGGCATTTACCCCGCTGTGGTGGCGAGGTTTTTCGCCGAGCATCTCAACGTCACAAGGCTGGCGGGTATGCGGTATGCCGGAAGATGCGAGGATTGCACTGGAGGGAGTCTTTGTAAGCCTGGTGATTTCAGGTTTACAACTAAACCCTAAACCCGTAGCGGCGAGCAAAAGAGCGGACCCTCGCCGACTTCTCTTGAAGTTCGGAAAGAGCCGTGGTGGGAACCCTGCTTGGGGTATCGGTATCCGCTGTGGCCCAGAGGTTCAGGGTTTAGCGTTTAGGATGTAGGGTTGAGGGTTTAGGGCTACCCTGGCAGCAAGGAGTCCAGTTGCAAAGGGTGTTTAGGGTTGATTCAGGGCTTCGGATGCAGCACTCGGCAACCACAACGCACCCCAGTTCCACTCTGTCTACGGGTAGTTTCATGGGCCCTTAGTATGGCCGGTTGCCTCCCTTACAGGGTTCTGAAGTATGGGCCCTCAATTTGTGCAGGGTATATAAGGGGTATATAAGGGGCCCCCTTTTAAGGGCCTATACAAACGGACCATGTAACTACCCTTAGAACAGAGCCAAGGAGGAGGGCCTGTGCCCTGGCGTCGATCTGGAAGCTCCTTTGAATTCCCTGCAAGAGGAACATCAAGCCTTCCAGAATCAGGGTTTAGGATTTGGGTTTAGGGTTTAGGGATTAGGAAACTAAGGGGGACATCCCGGAGGCTTCAATCTTAGTTGGCGGGGAGGACTGGGTCCGAGGGAGCTTTACCCAAAGCCAAACAAGGCCCACCGAAGCGCAGACCACTGTTCGGGTTTAGGGTTTAGGGTTTAGGGTTTAGGGTTTGGGGTTTAGGGTTTAGGGTTTAGGGTTTAGCAAGTCCGGCCTTCAGCTAATGCAGCCAGGGGCTCCCATCTGGCTAGTCCCCCATGCCAGTTGCGAACAGGGTTGAGGGTTTAGGGCAAAGAGTGTTTAGGGTTTAGGGTTGGATTCCGGCAGATCGACATGCAAAGCATTGATGCCGGGAACTTAAGATTCACTTAAGATTGCCTAGGCTAAGGGGTTTCAGACCAGACCTGAGCATGGCACGGGAGAGGCTCTGTGAAACGTTGTGGTCCTTTTTTTTGGGGTTCCTATTGCAGTACAGAGCTTCCACTCAGGGAACCCGGCATGAGGGTTTTGGGGTTTAGGGTTCAGGGCGTTTAGGGTTTAGGGCTCAGGGTTTACTCTAAACCCTAAACCCCAAACCTAGCATTTAGGACACTTGTTTATAGAAGCTAAGAGATCCCAAAAGGAGCCCAGGGCTTCGTCCCAGGTGCCTAGCCGAGGAGCTCTGGGATGGACATGTCCCTGAGCAGTTCCAGGCGGGCTCCGTTTAGGGTTTGGGGTTTCGGGTTTAGGGCCCTAAACCCTAAACCTACACCCCAGCGCGAAGTGTACTCCTTATTTCAGTACATGGACCCTTCCAGCTGGGCTTGGTGCGAAGGTGGACGAGTCCATGCACGACGCTTTGGAAGATGAGTGGGAGCGCCTCAGTTTGAGGAATTTGGGCTCGTGGCTTCAGGGTTTAACTTATAACCCTGTGGGTGCCACCTGCAATACATGCCTGTAGGGAGACGCCACCTTACTATGCAAACTGTAGCTCAGTGATTCGACTTGTAGCCTTGTTTAGGGTTAAGGGTTTAGGGTGTAGCTCATAACTCTACTTGTGACGCGGGACGGGGGCCAGTTTGTAAGGAACCTTTGTCCGACATGGGCACAATCAGGTGGGGATCAGGCCCGGCGATACGCAAAGTCCATTGCAAAAGTGCAGTAGAAAAGCCCTAAGCCCTAAGCCCTAAGCCCTAAGCCCTAAGCCCTAAGCCCTAAGCCCTAAAGCCCTAAGCCCTAAGCCCTAAGCCCTAAGCCCTAAGCCTAAGCCCTAAGCCCTAAGCCCTAAGCCCTAAGCCCTAAACCCTAAAGCCCTAATCCCTAACCCTAAGCCCTAAGCCCTAAGCCCTAATCCCTAAGCCCTAAGCCCTAAGCCCTAAGCCCTAAGCCCCAAACCCTAACCCTAAACCCTAAACCCTAAACCCTAAACCCTCCCGTTCGTGAGGCACGAGTGGCAGGAGGAAGCCGGTGAGGGTGTGGAGGACAGGGGGGGGGGGGAGCACCCAACGGAGGGTTTCGGGCAGTGGGGGTTTAGGGTTTATTCAAAAGGGTTAGGGTTTAGGGTTTAGGGTTTAGGGTTTAGGGTTTAGGGTTTAGGGTCTAGAGGGTCATTGTTCTAGCATTCATAGTCATTAGGAGGTTCCAGGCTCAGAAAAAAACCCACCCGCCCAAAGAATCCCATAACATCAAGAAAACAAAAGGTTTCCATTGTTCGGGCGATTCCGGCCAATCTGACCCCAATGTTCGGGCGATTTCGGCCAGGCCGAAAAGTCACGAACATTGGGGCCCCCAATGTTCGGGCGATTTCGGCCAGGCCGAAAAGCCACGAACACTAATCCCGCAATGTTCGGGCGATTCCAGCCAATCTACCCCAATGTTCGGGCGATTTCGGCCTGGCCGAAAAATCACGAACATTGGGGTCAGATTGGCCGGAATCGCCCGAACATTGGGGCCAGATTGGCCGAAATCGCCCGAACATTGGGGTCAGATTGGCCGGAATCGCCCGAAAATTGGGGCCAGATTGGCCGAAATCGCCCGAACATTGGGGGGCAGTTTGGCCGAAATCGCCGGAAGGTTGAAATAAATAAAGAAATAGACAATAAATATATATATATATATATATATATGTGATAGAAAGAGGGTTTATGGTTTAGGGTTTAGGGTTTCAATGAGAGAGCCCTGGCGCAACAGAGTTTCTGCTTGCAAGGCGGGATAGAAGAGACCCCGAGAACTCCCCCGGAAAAGCCCACAAAAACCTGATGCGACAACGAGCAGAGGACTTCGGTGCGGCAGGCTATGAGCTGATGTACGAAGGCGGCGAGGCGGGAAAGGGTGGAGCCTTTGTAGTTCGCTGTGCATGTGGCAAGTCGAGCGCTGACAATGACGCTGCCCGACAAACAGTTTTCATCACGGATGTACGTATATATATATATATACATATATATATATATATATCATACATATATTGTACATCATTTTCACAGAGCTTCAACCCAGTTAATTACCAGTGTCGGTTTGCTGCCAACGCAGGGGAACTTCCCAGAGGGCAAACGACGACACACATTTGCCAGCCGTGTTGAGCAAACCCGTTTTCAGCAAGCTTTGCAAGCCTAAACCCTTAACCCTAAACCCTAAGGGGCAGCAATGTGTAAGAAGAGGAGGACTTAACTAGGGGGGTAACCACACTTTGCATGGAATAACAGGCATGCTGCCGGTGTTTGCCTCCTGCTTCGGACGACTGGGGGTTTCGATTTTCTGAACTGGTTCCTCTGAAGGTTTAGGATTTAGGGTGTGAGGGTTTAGGGTTTAGGGGTTAGGGCCTCTAAGCCTTTGTTCGACTGGCAAGCCCCTCGGCGCACTACTGTCTACTGATTTCCGCAGCGACTTTCAGACTCGGGCGCGCCCGGCTCGCCGGATGCGCGGAATCCCCCGCCCTCAAGCCCTGACAAAGAAGAAGAAGAATAGCAAGAGAGAGAGAGAGAGAGAGAGAGAGAGTGAGCGAGCGAGCGAGAGAGGGTCAAGTGCCGAAAGGAAGAGAGAGAGAGAGAGAGAGAGAGAGAGAGAGAGAAAGAGACAGAGAAAGAGAGAAAAAGAGAGACAGAGAGAGAGAAAGAGATAAGGGAAAGAGAGAACAAGAGAGAGAGAGAGAGAGTGGCACGTTCGTACTTGATCAGCCCTAGTGTCCATATACTTTCCGGGTTGCAGGAGCCCGAGCCAGACGAAGACATCGCTGAGGCTCGTGACCCACTTGTATAACTAGGTAGGCCCTTGGGACATTTTTCGTCTTCTCTTATTGGATTTAAGAGGATCCTATACATTTTTCAGAAAGTTTTCAGGGCCATCCTAGATAAGTCATTTGATCAGCTGTGTGGGGTGTGAGTCTGGTATCTACGCCCGTGGTCCACACAAGACGCTGGTGCCATGCAACGTGGCTCGCGACACGTTTGTGAAACAGGCGGTGTAGGGCAAAGTGGAGCCCACAGGTGTACTTGTGCAGGCCCCCTAAACCCTGAAGCCTTCCCTGCAGAGTAGCCGCAAGGTCAGCCAGGCGGGTGGCAAAAAAGCCCCTGAACCCTAGGCCCTAGTTAAACCCTAAACCCTAAACCCTAAACCCTAAACCCAGGCAGCCTGTGCGCAAGAAGGGCGGGTAGTTACTTCGGAAGCGCGTTTAACACCTGGACTCTTGACCCCCTGATTGTGGGTCCTGTTTTGGCTTGCCACATGAAATGACCTAGTATATAGTAGAGTAGGTAACCTTTAACCTTTCTGGGGTAGCATAATCCCCTTATAATCCCAAAGGTTAACCTTTAATTCCCCCAGGTTACTGGACAACTAAGACGAGGTACCAGCCCAAAAAGGACGGCTATAGGTAGGGTCGCTCAAACTCCACTATCATGAGGTCTGGCAAGATCCGGACTTCTCGGCGACTGCAACTGGGCTCTTGCTATGGATTGTGAACAGAAGTTCCCGCCAGAGGGTTTCTGAAGTGCTCTGATTCTGCTTAAACCCTAAACCCTAAACCCTAAACCCTAAACCCTAAACCCTAAACCCTAAACCCATGGAGCCCTGGAAGCCCAGGCAAAGTCTGTTGGAAGCGCAGAGGGGTGGGACGACTGGCAGCGCGTGTCCCAGATGCACCCGCAGGCAGGGTTCAGGGTTCAGGGTTTAGGGTTTAGGGTTTTGGGTTTTGGGTTTTGGGTCAGGGTTTAGGGTTTAAGGTTTAGGGTTTAGGGTTTGGCCTCGGTGCGAGGTTGAAGGAGTTAGCCCTAAGGGAGCCCCGGAGCCCGAGACTGCAACATCCCAGCTTGAGGAGTTTAGAAGAAACATAGCGCTTCTTTAGTATTTGCTGAAGAACCCCACGAAAAAGTTGAAAAGAACTATAATAAATCCTCTTTTGCCCTTGCAAGCAAGATGTTTTTTGGCAGGGGGAGTTCTTAAGCAAAAAACTACTTCTGAAGGGAGGCTGGTGTGGTGTTGTCTACAGTGTCTGGAGTCCTGGAGGTGCAGATTTCGCCTGGTTTTCTCAGGGTTTAGGGTTTAGGGTTTAGGGTTTAGGGTTTAGGGTTTAGGGTTTAGGGTTTAGGGTTTAGGGTTTAGGGTTTAGGGTTTAGGGTACTCGGACTCGGGTGTGTGTGTGTGTGTGTGTGTGTCTTGCACTTGTATAAAGGTTCTTCTACTACCATGTGATTAAGAACCCCAAAAGAAAAACAAAAAAGATAATCCCTATATTGCCCTTATAAGGAAGAATAGCTTTTGGTTTTGGGGGTTCGTAAGCAATTGGTAGTCTAGAAACGAGCATTGGGCAGGCGCATCTCTTCTGCCGAGTCACCTCCGACGATGCCATCAGCATCTGCGTGGCAATTTAGTTGCCACGCGCGTTCTGGTCTTGGGTTTGGATTCAGCCTCTAAACCCTAAACCCCCACCCCTAAACCCTAAACCCAAAACCCTAAAACCCTAAACCCTAAACCCTAAACCCTAAACCCTAAACCCTACACACCCGACCCTACACCCTGCCCTTACCAGGCACCTTTTGGGACGGACCCCCGCGTAGGTCCTGGGGCATGACGCAGCCTGTGCATATTCCAGGTAGTTGTAGAGCTTTAGGGCCCTTTTGTAGGGTTTAGGGTATAGGGTTTATTAGGGTTTGGAGTTTAGGGTTTAGGGTTTAGGGTTTAGGGTTTAGGGTTTAGGGTTTAGGGCCTAGTAGGGACCCCCGGAGCCCTGAAGCAAAGAAAGGGCCTAGTAGGCTTTTAGGGTTTAAGGTTTAGGGTTTAGGGTTTTAGGTTTTACGGTTTAAGCCTGTTGCCAAGGATTTGGGGGTTCGCCACCAGGTATGTCAAGACATTGGCAGAGAATTCCCCTGAGCACATGGAGGTTCCCTAAACCCTTAACCCTAAACCCTAAACCCTAAACCCAGAGTTTGGCCTGCTGCGGTACTCTAAACTGCCCCTGTACCGTGAAGATTTCCTCAAACCCAAGACCCGAAGCCCTAATCTGCCAAAACCCAAATAAATCCCTAAACTACTCCTAAACTTGGTAGTTCCGTGGTACCCTTTACCCTTTTGTTTTTTGCTATGGGTTCCCTGATAAAGTATCAAGGCAGGGCCCCAAAAATCAGGGCAAAGTCCATCTCTGCCAGCCTCACCGACCCGAAACCCAAGACCCCAACAGTTATGGGCTTAGTAACTTAGGGTCTATGGTTTGGGGCTTATTAAAAATACAAGGGTTTATGGGTTTAGGGTATCTCAGCTCCTGCGGCGAGTCTGGGGTTCAAACAGGGCTTGGGTGGTTTTGAAACTCTTGGCTGCCAGGGCACGCTAAGTTTCCCGGGCGAACACATTGAGCCCGCCACATTCAACTCCTGAGTTCACCACACTCGACTCCTCTGCACGAATCCTCGAAGCGAGATTGCCCAGCCTGAAGTTGAAGCAGTTGTAAGTAAGCTTATTCAGACAGCCTCAGCTGTACCCAATTAACGAAGGCGCACAGCTTTCGCTGCTAAAGTTCCACTCAATGTCGGGCCCTCTGCGCTCAGAGGAGCCCTCCTGCGCCCCAAGTGCCTTAGGGGCCTTGGTGGCACAACGGGACGGACTGCGGAATCCCGTGGTTCCTTCGATGTTGAGCTCCACAGATCCCGGCTTGGAGGTGCTGCTGCGCAGCTCCCTGGCCCGCCTCGAGGCGCGCGTACGGGCGCTGGAGAGCCAGGGTGTTCGCTCGGACCGCCGGGCGGCGGAGCTGGCAGGCCTGGCGCAGGCCCTCACCGAAGAGCAGCGCACGCTCTTGATCCGGCTGGATCGCTTGGAGGAGCAGATGAAGCCCTGGCTGCAGAAGGATGCACAAGCCCCGGAGGAGCGCCTCGCGCGCCTGGAGCGCGAGCAGCGTGCAGCGGCGCTAGAGCTGAGGCTGGCAGCCTCATCGGCTGAGGAGGCCTCCCAGCGGCACCAGCAGCGCCTGCGGGCGCTGGAGGGCCGTTTGGAGGATGCGCTCGAGTCCCGGCTCCTGGCATGGGAGGCTGCAGCGAAGCCCAGCGAGACACCGAGGGCTCCGCTGGAGACCGAGCCGGTGGCAGTCCACCTTCGGAGTCTCGTTGCTTCAACGCCCCTCGAAGAGACCACCACGCCTGGCCACGCTCCGACGGCATCTGCAGAGGTCTTGGGCGAATTAAGGCTGCTGCGCACACAGATGGACGAGGTCCACAGACGGAGCGCGGGCACCATCAGCGAAACGCTGGAAGCTCGGGTGCGAGGCCTTGCGGATGTGGTCGAGGAGCTTCGGGTGCAGCTGGAGGAAGGCGCATACGCGACCCACAGTCCCACCTCACCGAAGCGACCCGAACGACCCGACTTCGACGTGCGAGCACTCGAGGAGCTTCGCACGCTGGTGGAGGAGCGCTTCTTGATCTCCTTAGCTGAGCTGGAGCAGCAGGTACCGCAGCTACTCCGCCAGCAGGAGCTGCAGACGGCCGACGCTGCCGAACGCGCCGGAAAGCTGCAGGAGTTCGAGGTGCGCGTGGAGATGGTGTCTCGGCGTCTGGGGACACAGGAAGCTTAGTAGCTGGAAGTACGCTTTACAGTTTTTGGGAGACTCTAGTCCCGTACAGAACTGAACGTGTACACGTTTTTTCGGGCTTATTATGAACTCAGCAACCAACCCTTTGGATCCATGTAGCTATAGAGTATAAATAGAGTATATACTTAGACCTTAAAGGGGTCCCTATATAGTAGCTTCAGGGCCCAAGTATACATAAAAAACATATGTACATACATAGATAATATGTATATATATATATATATATATATATTTATTTATTTATATTTATATTTATATATCTGCATATATATATATTATACATATATATATATATATACTGTATAGGCCCATGGGAGCCTTTTGGGGTAAGGAAGAGAGGCTCCAAAGCTGCTTCGACCGCATGGATCGGCTTCCGCAGCTGCCGCAGCTCCGCAGCCTCTGCCGCGAGGAGGCCCAGAAGCGGCTGGCCGAGGAACTGCCCCACATGGCCCACGAAGCTAGGTCGGCCTTGTGGGACATGTTTTGGTTATTTTGGACCTTGTGTTGGGTTTAAGAGGCCTTTGGGACATTTTTCGTTGTGTTTTTCCCTTATATTGGGTTTAAGAGGATCATTATTCAGGAATCTGTTTTGAGAGGGTTTTATAAGGGCCATCCTAGGAACTGGCGAAGCAGCAAGAAGTGCTGGAGGAGCTGCAGCTTCAGCTGCAACGCGTTGGCGGCCGCCGCCTTTCGGCGCGCCAGGACAAAGAGCCCAGCTGACGCGCGAAGTGAGAGTGGCACGTAATGTAGGGGTCGGAATAATTACAACTATTCTTCCCTCTCTGGCCACCAGAAAAATGACTAGAATAACCCCCCCCCCCCCCAAAAAAAAAAAAGAAAAGAAAATCTGTTCTTAATTATTAAGGCCCCTAAAGATAATTCATGCACGGGGTCCCCTTGTGAGCCTCGCCCGCCTATGCCAGCGTGAGAGTCAAAGCCCTGTCCGGAGCAAATCACCATCCCAGGTCCCGAACCACAAACCCTTGCAAAAGCGTCCCGCGTTTGCTCCTCCCTAAACCCTATAGGGGGTCACAAGAAGATGGCATAGAGAAAATGACCACCGCGTGCCTGGCACTCTGACATTTTCCAAAAAAAATCGCACAAATGGTTGGCATCCGGGTCCGGGAACTCCGGTGCAGTCAGCCACAATTTCACGCACAAGTGGATGGCACACGGATTTTTTCTTGCGCAGGTCTGCACGGATCGTTTAGGCGCGCAAATGGCAAGCAATCACCGTTGAGCCTCATATTTCCACCCTCCCCCCGACCCCCGCTCGGGATGGCGTCTCTGAACCTGCAAGATGAGGGTGGAGGACGGATCTTGGCCAGCGCTTGGATACAGCCTCGTTGAAAGTCTGATTGCGCCACCGCCGCCCCACACATACACCGAAAAACACATCCCTGCCAACTCGAGACCCACAGCGTTGGGGCCTCTTCTCTTACCTGTTCCTGCTGGCACAAAGGATGGCATCTCTGAACCCGCAAGGCTCTTCCCCCTGCCCCACTCGACCTGGAAATGGAGACCCCAACCGACTGTTGTGGTCGCTGCGGGTGTACAGTTTGGTGGGGATGTTTTTATGTGTGTATGTGTGGGGTGGTGGTGGTGCCGTCAGATTTCCAAAAAGGCTGTATCCAAGTGCTGACCAGGACCCACCGCTTCCTCCACCCTGACAGCTTGCGCCAAAACAAAACTTTGCGGGTGCAGAGATGCCATCCTTTCGTGCCAGGAGGGCCTCCTTGAGAATCTGATTGCACAACCACCACCGCCCCCACAAAATCCCCCACAACTCGAGACCCACCCACAGCGTTGGGGCCTGTTCTCTTACCTGTTCCTGCTGGCACAAAAGGATGGCATCTCTGAACGCACAAGCCTCCTCCCCCCCCCACCCGACCTGGAAATGGGAGCAGGCTGTGAGGGTGGAGGAAGTCTGTTGGTCCTGGTCAGCACTTGGATACAGCTTCCTTGAAAATCTGAGTGCGCCACCACCACCCCACCCGCCTTCGGGGTGAAGTCGGGTGGGGGCAAGGCAAAACAAGTGCTGACCAGGACACTCACAGCCTGCTCCCCTTGCACAGGTCGGGAGGGGCGGGGAGAGTCTTGCGGGTTCAGAGATGCCCAACCGACTGTTGTGGTTTCTGTGGGTATATAGTTGCGCATGCGGTTCAGAGATGCCATGCTTTTGTGCCAGGAGGAACTTGGATACGGCCTCCTTGAAAATCTGCTTGCACCGCCACCGCCCCACGCATACACACACCAAAAAAAAACATCCCCCAGAGACTCACAGCGTTGGGGCCTCTGGCACAAAAGGATGGCATCTCTGAACCCGCAAGTTCCTTCCCCCCCCCCACCCGGAAATGGGAGCAAGCTGTGAGGGTGGAGGAAGTCTGTGGGTGGTCAGCGCCTGGATACAGCCTCGTTGAAAGTCTGATTGCACCACCACCCCACACAGACACACACCAAAACAACATCCCCCGCAACTATATACCCACAGCGACCACAACAGTCGGTTGGGGCCTCTTAAATTCTTATCTTATCTGTTCCTCCTGGCGCAAAAGGATGGCATCTTTTGAAACCGCAAGACTCTGCCCCCCCCCCTTCACGTGACCTGGAAATGGGATCAGGCTGTGAAGGTGGAGGAAGCGGTGGGTCCTACTCACCACTTGGATACAGCTTCCTTGAAAAATCTGATTGCGCCACCACCACCCCACACACACACACCAGAAAAACATTTCCCACAACTGTATACCCGCGACCGCAACAGTCGGTTGGGGCCTCTTCTTTTATTTGTTCCTCCAGGTCCTGGCGCAAAAGGTCTGAGGCCACAAGACCCCCCCCCCCCCCACCGGGCTTGAGGGTGGAGGAACAGGTGGGTCTTGGAAAAAAAAGCTGATTCGCCACCACCCCCCACACATACATACAACAAAACATCCCCCACGACTATATACCCACAGCAGCCGCAACAGCTTGTTGGGGTCTTTTCTCTCGTGGCACAAAAGGATGGCATCTGTGAGGCCACAACACCCTGCCCACCCTCCCCTCCCCTGAGTTGTGTCTGGGTTCCTCAAACCCTGCAAGCCCACCATATCTCGGTGGGGATCAGGGCCTCCCGCCCGCGCAAAAGGCTGGCGTACCGATCCTGGGGGTCACCGCCCCCCGAATCACGCACCAATGGATGGCATACTGATTTTTGGGCCCATCCATGTGACCAAGACCGCGTGCCAACAACTGGTGCGTGGCTCATCGTGCCATCTTCTTGTGACCGCCTATAAACCCTAAACCCTAAACCCTAAACCCTAAACCCTAAACCCTAAGCCCTAAACCCTAAACCCTAAACCCTGTTCGTCCACCTTTCTCCGAGCCCTTGATGACCGAGGTGACGCTTTGACAGCGAACTTCTGGTTTCTGTCTGCCATGGCCTGTGTGGCCGAGTGTCTGGGCTGCCCTATGTTTCCGGGTGGGCCGGTCGTAGGCTCCCAAACGGCCCTTCCTTTCAAGCAGCTCATGCTTGAACTTCCTGCTTAGGACGCACTTTGGTGGTCGGATCTGGCAAGCCCTCGCCCACATGCAGTGTCGTGTGTGTGTGTGGAGCTGTGCTTTAACCAAGTCGCATGATAGAACCTCAAGCTGGGACACCAGAACTGCAATAGTCATTCGGCACACTGGCTCCACCAGGTATCCGGCGTGGATCGTGTCCGCCTTTCGGCGCCTCCCTCTTCACTGGGATGCAGGGCTAGTGAAGTTGTTCCTCGAGGTTGGGGCCGGTTGAGGTGAGTTGAGATGGTGTTCACACAAAGGTAGATGTCACGGCAGAAGGATGTCATGTGTGATGTCATGACCTTTGTCAGCTGCCGCGGGCTTCCTGATCGCGCTCCACAACTCAGGCTGAACACCACGCTCACAGCCAATGGTGCCTATGCCGTTCGCTTTTACCATCCAGGGAAACAGCGATTCCAGCCGCTCGGTGTAGCGTGGATCAGTACACAACGAACGAACGCGTCCCCAATCGCACCAAGACCCCCCCCCGCTCGGTTTAGGGTTCAGGGTTGGGTTTAGGGACCCCAAAGCCTATGAAAAAGCCTTGAGCGGAGGTTTGTGGAGATCGATGACCGCATTCCGACACTTAAGGGAGGTCCCATGTCCGCTGGCGACCCTCAGCTCAAGCTGGACATCGGGAGATGCCGGTGAAGAGTTCTCGGTCTTGGGGCTGACGCCTATTTGCTTCAGAACCGGTTTAGGGTTTAGGGTTTAGGGTTTAGGGTTTAGGGTTTAGGTCCCCCAAAATCAACAGCAACCTTCTCTCGCGGGACTTAGGTGTGCTAGAAAGACGCTGAGGTCACCCCAGAAGGGGAGGTGTGGGTGGCTTTGCTGGAGAAAGCGTTTGCAAAGTTCTGCGGCTCCTACAAGCAACTCAGTACGATTGAGGGTGGGCTTTCGGGCTCAGGGTGTAGGTGCTTGGAGGTTCATGGCACTCATTCCCCAATTATAACTGTACTTCTAACTGTACTTATAACTGTACTCATGACCATATTAGGGCACTTAAGAGGCTTATAAGCGGGTTATAAGTACAGTTATAATTTGTTAATAAGTACCATGAACGAGGGCGGGCGGGGGCTTCATGGATCGTCTGCCCCAGCGAGGACCGTGAAGGAGCGTGCCAGAAGAGAGGGTGCCGAATATAGGGGCCTTAATAGTTAGGGTTTAGGGTTTAGTGTTTAGGGTCTAGGGTTTAGGGTTTAGGGTTTAGGGTTTGGGGCAGGGTTCTGGGGGTTATTAGAGCATGTTGATAAACGAGACCATAAGGGAATACCATTAGTATTTATTCCGAACCCCTAGATTACCCCAAAAGGTTCATCGACTACCTCCGCTTGAAGGTTCAAGGGACCTACGAACCAGGTTGCAATGGAGAGAAATGCCCGCGTGGGCTTATAAGCAGGACTACCATAACCCTCAGTGGTGACCAGTTACCCAGAGGGTCCAAATACCTATAGTTATGGTTTGGGGCCAAGAGATTATGGGGACCTAAAACCAGAGGTAGGGGGTACTGTATTTGGACCCTGTGGGTTAGTAAGGGCCACGACCCTTCAAGCAGTCGATAGATCTCGTGGCGCTGCAGGGCCATGGAAGGTGGATCTGTCGCTTATGGATTGCAGCTTGTTTGCATTCGCAGTTCGCAACAGAGGTCTTCAGGAAAGCCGGGTGACCCGCCCTGCTTCAAACCTAATTCGCTTTCCCTTTCGGGTCCGCACAGGGATTAGGGTTTAGGGCAAACCCGGATGCAACAGGAGGTCAATGTCGAGGACTATCATGTGGTAGGTGTCATGGAAATACTGCAAGCTGTCGTTAAGGAGATCTTGTTCCTGAACCGCGTTCAACGAGACAGCTTGTTCAGCTACACTAGCAAGCTTCCGATGTTATGATCATGCTTATCTTTTTTGCAGAAGATCATGCTGTTTGCATTGAAAGGGTCATGATACGGCCGTTGGCCTCAGTTGTAAAGGCCTTCTTTGCGAAAGGGCCCATGTATTCGATCAGCCCCCTTTTCTGAAATTTCTGTCAGGTAGCTGGAGCCATGGCCACACGATGGCACTTTCTTGGGGGATGTTTCCCCCCTATACTGACAGCCCTAAACCCTATACTAACAGTCCTGAATAGGGATTATTGGAACCCCCTATCGATCCCCTTCACTTACTGGCTCAAAACCCAACTTTTCAACTTTTGGGCTTCTCATAAGGTAGTTTATTCTGAAAGTTTCAACTTTTATTTGCTTGGGTTTTGGGCCAGTAAGTTTAAGGAGCTGTTCGTATCAGGGGAAACATGCCAAGTACTTTCCATCCTCCTGGGGCGCCCTATGACTTGCACGGCCCACTTTTTTCGAAGCCGAGACCCTAAACCCTAAACCTTAAAGCCTTGACCCTAAACCCTAAAGCCTTGACCCTAAACCCTAAACCCTAAACCCTAAACCCCAAACCCTAAACCCTAAACCCTCTCAGGTTGTACCTGTGCGGCGGCGGTCTCGCGGAAAGTTTCGAAAGGTCGACGGGTACGACGCGATGGAGGTTCCCAGCTGGCGTTTAGGGTTTAGGGCTTAGGGTTTAGGGTTTAGGGTTCAAGGCTTTGGGGTTGAGCTTTCATGCAGGAGGACTGGGATTGCAGTCAGGTCTCAGACGGGCTGCTGGGGTCAGGCGTCTGAATGCGAGCCCTTGTCCAAGACCCCAGCCACGAGTCCTAAACAACCCTAAAGTCTCCAAAGCCTGAAGCTGAAAACTGACTAGGCCTCAGAGCTTTCGTCATAAAGGAAACGTTACATTGTCCCTTCCTGTGGTCCCTTTTTTCGAGTCTTTGGGGTTTTTGGATTTTGGGATTCTTCGCCACCCCCCCCCCCCCCCCCCCCCCCGCCCAGCTCAGGCACATCTACACATGCTGGCACGGCAAGGATCACGAAACCATCGACCGGAAACTGGCCGAAGGCCGGGGGTAGGTCTTCAATGGCTTAGGGCTCATAAGGGCTCATAAAGGCTTATAAGGGCTCATTAGGGCTTATAGGGGCTTGTAAGGGCTCATAAGGGCTTATAAGGGCTTGTCAGGGCTTAGGGCCCATAGGGGAAGGGCTTGTAAGGGCTTAGAAGGCCTCATAAGGGCTTGTAAGGGTTTACCCTCAACCCTAAACCCTATAAGGGCTTAAGCCCGACCCCGAAGCATGCCAGGTGTGGAGGAGGACGGCTTGGAGCTAGATCAGGACACGGCGGGCGTCCTCTTGGTACCAGCCTTGCACTTTTAAAAGGAGGGGTTTAGGGTGTAGGGGTTTAGGGTTTAGGCGTTTAGGGGTTATGGCTAGGGGCACCTGCTCCAGAATTGTTGGGAAACCCCTTTGTCTAACGTAGGTTCTGGTAGCCCAGTGGTGCCCTTTACGCCCTTTTGTTGGGTTATGGGTTAGTAACCAACCCAACAAAAGGGTGCCAAAACTATGAAATGGTCACTGGGCTACCATTGAGAACCCCAAAAATTGAAAGATGATAATCGCTATATTGCCCTTATAAGGAAGAATATTTTTGTGCGTGGTTCTCAAGCAAGTAGTAGCTGCAGGGTTTAGGGTTTAGGGTGTAGGGTGTAGGGTGTAGGGCTGTAGGGTTTAGGGTTTAGGGGCTTCCCTCCAGCCACGACTCCGCGAAGGATTCCTTGTGGGCCGTGCTCAGGGAGTACATGGAGCACCTTGCCCATGCGAAACACCTAAACCCTAAACCCTAAACCCTAAACCCGAGAACGCAAAGCCTAGGAGGCCCCGTCCTTTTCAGGTCTTTGTTGGGACCGAAACCAACCTTAGATTTAGAGCCCTGGAATATCGAGATCCCCAGCGCGAAGTAGTGAGTAAAGCCTAGAGTTTAGGGTTTCGGTTGTAGGGTTTTGGGCTGGTTGTGGGTTTAGGATTAGGAGCTGGGCCAAGTGAGCTGAGGTTTTGCTATCCGGTGGCAGCGACAGTGATCCCAGGAGCGCTGGAGGTGGGGGCCCAGCTGCTGTGCACTGTTGGTTTCGTCTTTACCCTAGGGTTTAGGGTTTAGGGTTTAGGGTTTAGGGGCAAGATGTCCCAGGAGCTGTAGACCTGGCTAAGCTTTGCTAGAACCCTACGAAGCCCTTACACAAATCTTTAACCAACCCTACGAAACCCCTAAGCCTGGCGGAAAACCAAACACTTAACAGTCGGAGTTCATCTGGGTGCCAGCTGCTGTTTCTAGGCCGTGAGTTGTAAAGACGGCCACTGGGGAAGGCAGCCACTGCTCTTCACCCCCCCGGTGTACGACTTGGAGGTTCATGGTACTTACTAACCAATTATATTTGTACTTAGAACTGTACTTATAACCCTGTTAGGGCACTTAAAAAGGGGCTTTTAAGTGGCTTAGAAGTGCACTTATAGTTGGTTAATAAGTACCCTAATCTCGAAACCCTAAACCCTAAACCCTCTTGGTTAATAAGTACCATGAACCTCCAAGTAGTCCCTGGAGAGTGGCTGTGGATGGTCTGCAGCACGGGTTTGCAGAAGCAAACTCTGCTAAACCCTAAGTTCCAAACCCTAAACCTTCAACCCCTATATAACCCTAAAACCTAAAACTCAACCCTAAGACCTAAACCCAAAACCCGACAGTCGAACCCTAAACCCTAAACTCTAAACCCTAAAACCTTAAACCCCATACCTACACCCTAAACCCTAAACCCCAAACCCTAAACCCCAAACCCTAAGCCCTAAACCCTAAACCCTAAACCCTAAACCCTAAACCCTAAACCCTAAACCCTAAACCCTAAACCCTAAACCCCCTAAACCCTAAACCCTAAACCCTAAACCCTAAACCCTAAACCCTAAACCCTAAACCCTAAACCCTAAACCCTAAACCCTAAACCCTAAACCCTAAACCCTAAACCCTAAACCCTAAACCCTAAACCCTAAACCCTAAACCCTACCCTGAACCAGGGATCCGGGCTCATGCCAAAGCTTGCCTACTCGGTGATTGGCGCCCGGGAGGTGAAGCTCAAGCAAGGCGGGGCTTAGGGTTTAGGGTTTAGGGTTGAGGGTTTAGGGTTGAGGGTTTAGGGTTTAGGGTTGAGGGTTTAGGGTTCAGGGCTTAGGGTTTAGGGCTGGGTTTAGGGTTTAGGGCTGGGTTTAGGGTTTAGGGCTTAGGGTTTAGGGTTTAGGGTTTAGGGTTGGGGTTTGGGGTTTGGGGTTTGGGGTTTAGGGCTCTGTGCATAGGGCTTGGACGGATACGCAGAAGCCGGTTGCAAAAACTGGGTGTTGCCTGGGGCTTCTGTAGGCTTCGGGCTTGCAGGGCATCGGCTTACAGACATTTGCTTGGGAGGTTTTAAGGGAGTTCGGGGGCTGGGGTGTTCAGAAAGTTACAGCAGCTCTGGGGAGCATGGGGGTAGTGCTTCCCAGAGAAACCTTGGTAGCCTTCAAAAAGGGTGATGCGCTTAAATCATTGGGGAACCCTAAACCCTAAACCCTAAACCCTAAACCCTAAACCCTAAACCCTAAACCCTAAACCTTTTTTTCAGGCACAAGCTTGCTCAAGTTTAGGGGCGGCTCGGGGGTTTCGGGCTTTCGGGGTCTGGGGCATTGGCGTCCTCAAACTCTCATTCAGAACCCTAAACCCTAAACCCTAAACCCTAAACCCTAAACCCTAAACCCTAAACCCTAAACCCTAAACCCTAAACCCTAAACCCTAAACCCTAAACCCTAAACCCTAAACCCTAAACCCAACTGGCAGGCCTCCTCCGCCTCGTCCGCCTGCGCGATCCGCATGGCTTCACCGGGTGGCGGCGGGGCTTCATTCAGCGCTGGGGTTTAGGGTTTAGGGTTTAGGAAAAAGGGTTTAGGGCTTAGGGGGGCAAAAGGGTCTGAACGGCAATTTGGGATGAATCCTTGTGCTTCCAGGGTCCGCTAGATAGGTTCCTGATGCACGCAATAGATAGGTCCCTGAGAAGTATAGGGTAAGTAAGATTTATGTCCACTGGCAGCCGGCGTGCGTGGGATGACCCTAAACCCTAGAACCCTAGAACCCTAGAACCCTAAACCCTAAAACCCTAAAACCCTAAAACCCTAAAACCCTAAAACCCTAAAACCCTAAAACCCTAAAACCCTAAAACCCTAAAACCCTAAAACCCTAAACCCTTCATGTTTGGATTGGACCTCGATGCAACTTCCAAGAATGTCACACACCGTCATGGCAACACCGGGTGCTGAGAGGAGCAGCCCGCCAGGTCCCTCCTAAACCCTAAACCTAAACCCTAAACCCTAAACCCTAAACCCTAAACCCTAAACCCTAAACCCTAAACCCTAAACCCTAAACCCTAAACCCTAAACCCTAAACCCTAAACCCTAAACCCTACACCCTAAACCCTAAACCCTAAACCCTAAACCCTAAACCCTACCCCTAAACCCTACCCCTAAACCCTAAACCCTAAACCCTAAACCCAAGGAAGGGCCCCACTGGCTTCGCCCTCCTAGTGTTTCAGGTTTACCGCGTGGGGTGTAGGGTTTTTAGGTTTCTGGCTAGCCTTCAGTCCAGTGGCAAAAAGGGTTTAGGGTTTAGGGTTTAGGGTTTAGGGTTTAGGGTTTAGGGTTTAGGGTTTAGGGTTTAGGGTGCAAGCGAACCCTCAAGCTACTAAACCAACCTGAACGCTTGAACGCTGAGCCGAACGCATCCGAGGTCGGGGCGCTGGTCTGACACTTCTGATGCCTGGGAGGCGTGCCCGGCAGCGAAGCAGCAGGCCCCTGCGGACGGTTTGGGGTTTTCCGGGGCCTGGTTGTTGCTGCAAGGCTGTTGCCAGCATGAACCGTTCTGCGAATTACCAAGCTGACAGGAGGCTAGACCCCAGAACCCTGAAGACCGGCAGCGTTGGGCCTGAGAGGAGCTTGTCGGGAACTTCGTGTAGGGACCCCGACAGCTAGGACGACCGAAGGATGTAACCCTAAACCCTAAACCCTAAACCCTAAGCCCTAAGCCCTGAACCCCTAAACCCTTAGAACCCCCCTTAAAACCGAAAAGTCCAGGGATGAAGTGCAGACTGAATCTGCTCAGTCAGCTTACAGAAGGCTCCGAAGGCACCCTATGCCCTAAACCCCAAACCCTAAACCCTGAACCCGAAACCCCAACTTACTTCACAACAGGCACCCTAAACCCTAAACCCTAAACCCTAAACCCTAAACCCTAAACCCTAAACCCTAAAGCTCCTCTGGACTCCCAGACCCCATGAATCTAGAGCAGGTCCATTTCAAGCCCAACGTCACTGGTACCTTTTGGATGTCCTACGCAGACTTCTGCACCTCGACTTGGGTATAGTTTAGGGTTTAGGGTTTAGGGTTTAGGGTTTAGGGCTTAGGGTTTAGGGTTTAGGGTTTAGGGTTTAGGGTTTAGGGTTTAGGGTTTAGGGTTTAGGGTTTAGGGGTGAGGGTTCTCTAAATAGGAACCATGCGATTTCAGCATGGCCCCCCCCCTTACCCTTGCTTGGAGGGCTGCGAAGTATGGGGCTCTTGTAATTAAGGGCCCAGACTTGGAACCTTAGATAAGATGGCAGGGCCCCTTTGGTTCAGGGTTTAGGGTTTAGGGTTTAGGCTTTAGGGTTTAGGGTTTAGGGTGCCGCACGATACAGGACCCCAAAAAGGGAACCGAATTCAGAGAACTGGCCACTTGCGGTTTTATGATTTTGGATTGGCAGAGAGAGTCGCTTTCTTGAGTTGGCTTCTCCATGCCAGGCTCTGCCAGATGGCATGATTACCATTGTTGCGTGGGACAGGGTTGGGAGGAAGCCAGGCTGCAGAAGATGCGAGGTCCTCCGTGCTAGCGAGTATCGTGGAAAACTAGGTTGCCTACCCAATCAGCCCTCAGCCCTTAGCAGCATTCTACTGCTTGAGGCAAATATTTTGGCCGGATCGACACCGTGAGGACTTTTCTGCTGTAGTGCTGAAGCTTCAAAGAACCCCAAACCCTAAACCCTACCTAAACCCGAAACCCGAAACCCGAAACCCTGAACCCGAAACCCTAAACCCGAAACCCTAAACCCTAAACCCAAAACCCTAAACCCTAGCGATCCCTGGACTTCCAAGTTCGGCCTCAGTTTGTCCTTCCGGCAGGAAGCCGATGCCTGCCACCCGGCCGGTTTTGTTAGGGTTTAGGGTCTAGGGTCTAGGGTCTAGGGTTTAGGGTTTAGGGTTTAGGGTTTAGGGTTTGGGGGATCCCTGAACAGAAAAGGCGAGTGTTGTTGATGAGAAGCTCGCAATGTGCCCCCCCCCCCCCCCCCCCATGCTAAGCACGAGCTCCATTGCTTCGTTCAAAGAGGCCTCTAAAGAATGCCAACATGGGGGTTTACGAAAATGGGGGGCCCTAATATAGATCCCCAAATACTAGGATTCCCCTTTAATGTTGGATCTCAATAAGGTACCCCCCCCCCCCCCTCTCCAATTTCGGAAACCCCCATATGTAATCCCAGGACCAGTAAGAAGAACCCATTGTAATCACTGTCCACATGCCCCTCTATGACATTCGTGGCTGGTTCTTAGTAGGGAACGAGGGAATGACGCCCCCTTTTTACTCCCTTAAAGGGCATACAGAGGACGCTATTTCCCTCAATCCCTCGAAGAACAAGGGGGGATTCATGGGCTTCAGGTGCAAAAAACCCTTCTAGTGAAGCATGGCCCTAAACCCTAAACCCTAAACCCTAAACGCTAAACCCTAAACCCTAAACCCTAAACCCTAAACCCTAAACCCTAAACCCTACATTCAGGTGCAGGGCTGCAAGGAGGCGAAGCTGCACGGCGCCATCCGAGGACTGCGGAAGATGGGCACATCCTGAGCTCCTGGGTTCCCCCCTACGACCCCCATTCAGGAGGGTTTAGGGTTTAGGGTTTAGGGTTTAGGGCTGAGGGTTTAGGGTTTAGGGTTTAGGGTTTAGGGGTAGTGTAGGGGGTAGTAGGGGAACCCATCCTGAGCCTGTCTCTGCCTGACCCCTCGGAGGCTCACCGAAGGACTTGGCACGGTTTTTGGGTTTAGGGGTTTTAGGGGTTTTAAAGTTTTAGGGTTTTAGGGTTTTAAAGGGTTTTAAAGGGTTTTAAAGGGTTTAAAGGGTTTAAAGGGTTTTAAAGGGTTTAAAGGGTTTTAACGGGTTTTAACGGGTTTAGGGTTTAGGGATGTTTAGGGCAAACAGGGTCTAGGGTTTAGGGTTTCAGTGGTTTGGGTGACAGCCCTACACCCCAAACCCTGTGCCATGCGATGCATTCTTTCAACAGCTGCCCCAAGTGCTGCTGAGAGCTTGCCTTGGATCTACAGCTTTCAACTCAATGTCGACCGTCGTGCTCTCAGGGCTTAGCTTAGGCTTTTGCATTGGGAACTGGTTGCGAGTGTAGCCCGAACGACGGGAAAGCATGTCCCGGCAAGCCCCACGATCCTCACCTGCAAGACAGGGTTCCATAGTAACACAGTTACAGGCCCTTGTGAATAGGGGACAACAAACAAGGAACAATAGTTGAGAGAATGGCCTAAATCATGATGTCCAAGGCACTTTCGAAAGCGCGCTCAATACGCGCTTGTCTTTGCTTGGGCCTGCGAAGTTTCCAGGTCTTCGCGGGTTGATGGACAGATGAGTGAATGCAGGCCAACACAAGACTGCACATTCGATACGGAAACCCTCAAACCTGAGCCCGAAACTAAAACCCTGTCTAGCAAGATGAATCGTCGAGACATTTGTCCTCGGAACCTGCGGAGGTCAAAGAGCTGCGAATTTTAACGGTTTGAGAACCTCGGGGACGAAATGACTCCCATTTCTACCCTGTGCTATTTGATCCCTATTGTGGTTGCTGCTCGGGTTCATTTAGTCCATAAGGAAATGGCACGGCACCCAAAAAGGGATGTCGCGCGCCACACTTCTGCAAAGAACCGGAAGTGCTTGAAGGCTTGGAAAATGTTCTGCGGGCTGAAGGTTCTGTGCACAGGCTCTCTTATCATGCAGATAACAGGGGGCCATCATGATCAAATCGTAGCTAGTTGCAACCCTAAACCCGAAACGTATCATAGTACATACCTAAACCCAGACAGTAACCAGCGCCCTCCCCCAACTACCCTTTATCCAGAATAGTAAGGTAATATAAGCCCGCTTTATTAAAAGGGTAGTTCGGGGTTGCAGGAATTCCCAAACCCCTGAACCCAGAAGCTGGCTGGTTCTTAGTAGGGAATGAGGGACTGAGGTACCTAAAGGGTTTTCATATCATTCCCTGCTAAGAACCAGGAGGGAAAGTACTTCCCACACCCTAAACCCTAAACCCTAAACCCTAAACCCTAAACGCCCTCAGGCCGCCGGTGTCCGACCTGGTTGGGCTGTGGATTGGCCCGGGCGCCCAGATCTGCGCGGAGCGCGACGAACACTTGGCATTGGTTTTCTTCTGGCTCTTAGGACTTTAGCCTTTTGGGTTTTTGGTAGAAGCTACAATAAGGAGCCTAAACGTTAAACCCTAAACCCTAAACCCTAAACCCTAAACCCTAAACCCTAAACCCTAAACAAGTAGTGAGGGCGTCAGAAGACAGCCAAAGGCAACACAAGTTTGGCCCCATGGGATCTGGGATGAGCCATAATTTCCATAGCCCGACAAGCCCGAGACCGAAAGCAAGAAGGCTCAAAGGACAAGCACGGGGTTTAGGGTTTAGGGTTTAGGGTTTAGGGTTTAGGGTTTAGGGCAGTGTTCAAAGAGCCCGTGTTCTGGGGGTTGCGGGAGAGACCGGCGTTGACATGGACCCCGTGCACCCGAAACTCCTTGTGGCTCTTTTGGGAAGGGCTGTTTGGGGTTTAAGGGTTTAGGGTTTAGGGTTTGGGGAGTAGGGGGGCCGTGGTGGTAATTCTGAGGGGACGATTGAGATGAGGAGAGATTTTGGTTCTGTTGTGGTTGTTGAGGTTGTGAGGATGTTGAAGCGCGACAGGATAGAGTCCCTTAACCCCAAGAAAGCAGCCGATGCGCGCAACCTGACCAGATGCTCCCAGCGTTCTGAGAGGCAGCTTGCTAAGAAAGGGGCCGGAAGAATTGCTCATCTTCTTCCCTTAGGGTCCATTTACATTTGTACTATAATAGCCCCGAAAAATCCTATTGAAATTATAAAGGCCCTTACATTAGAGCCTTAATTTAGGGGTGCACAGAGAAGAAAAGGGCCGTCTCAGGAGCTCGGAGCTTTGTGCCGTGCGGGGGTTTCCGACATTAGGGGGTACCTTCTTGGGGTCGTTATGCTAAGGGAATCCTACTATTTGGGGGGGTCTTTATGAGGGGTCCCGTATTTTCGTAGACTCCCACATTGTACCGAAGAGTTTTAGGGTTAAGGGACTTAGAAGGCCTGGTTTGAAAGCATGGGACGTAGACTTAGTTGTTCAAATCTCACAGCATCCTTTCCCCTGCATCTCACGACAGAGAGCATCTACAAGCATGCTCCACCATGCCGATGCCTTGCCGGACGCGGAGCGTGGTGGCGCTGCCGACGCCGGCCGCAGTGGCCAGGGCTCCGAGAAGAAGCCTTCAAGGAAGAAGGCGAAGCGCTTCGCCTTATCTCCGTTTCCCGGAGGCAGTGGTGCCTCAAAGTCAGCGCTAGCGCTCGTTGCTGCGATGGGTGCCAGAGCTGTTGGGCCCGTGCTGTCGCTGCGTTCATCGCTGGCTGGCTGCTGCGGAACAGACTTGCACTTGGTGTTCTGCGCCCTGGAGAACAACGAGGATGCAACCACTCCGTGGTTAAATGCACTTCGCGAGCCCCTGTCATCCACGTCAGGGTTCCTACGTCTGCATGCGTAAATCTTAGTAGCTGAGTGAGTACACTTCACACTTTTTGGGGCACTATAATCTCTACAAAACGAAAAGTGTACACTTGTTTTGGATGAACACAGCAACGAAGAAATGGGGGTGGAAATGTGTGTGGCGCAGCAGGACATCCACTTCCTGAGCATCGGCTGCAACGCGGCTCTGGCCACCTCCAGCTCCCTGGCCTCCCAGTTGGCCCAGGTGCTGCGGAAGGGCTTCCTGTGGGCCTGCAGCTGGGTCCACCAAGAGTTTTTGACTGTGGGGTTTAGGGTTTAGGGTTTAGGGTTTAGGGTTTAGGGTTTAGGGTATAGGGTTTAGGGTTTAGGGTTTAGTTGAGTGAACACGAACGGCCGATGCTTGGAGTTGAATCTGGCTAGTCCTCAAGCCCAGTTGCAAAAGGGTTTAGGGTTTAGGGTGGTTGTAATCGTAGTAGTAGACTCTAGAACTTTCTTTGGGACATGTTGTCCCCCCATATTTGACTCGTGACTGCACCCGTTATGGAATGTTGCAGGAGGTTTCGCCAGGCTGTAGGTTTGGGCTTGCTCATGCGCGAGTCGTGACCAAGCGAGGAAGTCAGAGGTGTGAGAAACCGAGCGAGCAAGAGAGCGACAGAGCGAGAGAGAGGGGCAGCGAAGGGAAGGAGAGGGAAGGGAATTGGAACGGAAAGGAAGGGACAGGAAAGGAAAGGACCCTAAACCCTAAACCCTAAACCCTAAACCCTAAACCCTAAACCCTAAACCCTAAACCCTAAACCCTAAACCCTAAACCCTAAACCCTAAACCCTAAACCCTAAACCCTAAACCCTAAACCCTAAACCCTAAACCCTAAACCCTAAACCCTAAACCCTAAACCCTAAACCCTAAACCCTAAACCCTAAAGGAAGGGAAGCTGTGACCCAAAGGCGACTTCGGTGAGTTGTACTTCCGTGGTGACGTCCTGGACGTTCTCCTCAAGGGCATTGAGGGGCCGTCCGGGGCCCCCCTCAGCAATCTGGCCTTCACCTTCATTGACAAGGGCTGCGGCATCAATGAGCGCCAAGTAGCCAAGCTATATTACCCCTATCTTTGTCTGGGGTTCTTCAGGAAATAGGGTAGCCAAGCTCTGTTGCCCTTGTAAGGAAGAATATTTGTCATAGTTGTCTCTGGTTCTTAATGATATAGTAATATAGTAGAGTCTTAATATCCCTAAACCCTAAACCCTAAACTCTAAACCCTAAACCCTAAACCCTCAACCCTAAACCCTAAACCCTAGACCCTCCCTAAACCCTAAACCCTAAACCCTTGGGTACAGGTGGCCAAGCTGAAGTGCCTCACCCGCCAGAGGCGGCTGCTGGACAAGGCGCTGTCGTCCACGAAGGTGGACCGGACCCTAGACCCTAGACCCTAAACCCTAAACCCTAAACCCTAAACCCTAAACCCTAAACCCTAAACCCTAAACCCTAAACCCTAAACCCTAAACCCTAAACCCAGGTGGACCGGACCCATGCTGCGTGGCTAGACATCCCCCACGTCTTCGGCCTCGTGATGCTGGCCTTATAAGGTTTAGGGTTTAGGGTTTAGGGTTTAGGGTTCAGGGTGAGACAAGCCTGTGCAAAAAGGGTTCAGGGTTCAGGGTTTTAGTTAAGGACCACATGAACCTTAACAGGGTTTAGGGTTCATACACCTTAATAGGGATTAGAGTAGTATAGGGTATATGGCCCCAATTTTAGGGCTCATTAGGTCCCCAAGGGGGTTGTGCTTTGGGATAATTCTTAACATCCCTTCTTTCCTTTACAAGGGGACCTATTCACGAGTCGTTCTCAAGGTTTTTGCAGCACAACCTGAGGATGAGGTCCAAGAATCTGACCAAGTGCTTCTGGCGCCCCTACCAGGAGGGGGAGTTCTGGCGCAGGGCCGGCTTCCATTGCTCCGGCCTAAGGCTGCAGTCCCAGTCCGCGGGCAAGCGCGTGAACCCGGCGATTCAGCGGCTGACCACCGCCCTCCACCGCGGGAATCTCGACCCGAACGGTCTGCAGAAGGCCTTCCCCCCGGGCGAGGAGGGCCGGCGCCGAAGCCGGGAGCTCCTAGATCCCCCTTTTTGGGAGTTATTTTTCCTATTTTTGTTTATTATATACATATATATATATATACATTTTATTTATTATTTATGTATATATATATATTAGATGTATATAAAACCCAAGAGGATATTAAGAAATTATTGTTTTTTTCTGAAGGTTCTATAAGGGGAGTCGAGGCTCCTGGAGCAGGCCCTGCAGAGGGATCTGCCCCCCGCGCCGCTGCCGCGCTGGGTGCTGCCAGGTTTCTTCCGGGAGCCCAAAAGTGAACTTGGGGTTTAGGGTTTAGGGTTTAGGGTTTAGGGTTTAGGGTTACCCTAAGATTGGGGCCATGTGCCCTGTACTACTATAATCCCTATTAAGGAAATATGAACCCTAAACCCTCTTAAGGTACTACTATCATCCCTATCAAGGTAATATGAACCCTAAACCCTCTTAAGGTACTACTATAATCCCTATTAAGGTAATCTGAACCCTAAACCCTTTTAAGGTTCATCTGGCTCTTAAGGTTTCCGGGAGCCCCAGAAGCGGCAGAAGGAGGATCGCCAGCCCGTCCCCTTGGCGGTTTTCAGTGGCGCCCTTGTTGCCCCCCCAACTTCTTCTTTTCTTTTTTTAGTTTCTACTTGTAGGTTCCCTTGTCGAAGCAGTAGCAAGCCCAAAAAGGGTGGGCTACTCATCCCTACTAATTGAAGGGACCATTTTGCACTCCCTCCCTTACACCCCCTTGGTTCCTGGGCGAGCAAGGTCCTGCAGGAGGGGCTCTTGAAGCGGAGGCGGGTTACGGCGCCGGTGGAGTCGACCATCGTCGTGGACGGGTGAGCTGGGAATCGAAGGTAAGTTAAGCGAAGTTTAGGGTTTAGGGTTTAGGGTTTAGGGTTTAGGGTTCAGGGTTCGGGTTTAGGGGTTAGGGTCACGACCGAGGGAGGAGGGAGCTGCGCAGAAAAAGGCATCCAACCGGTCGTTCCGTTCTTGAAGACCGATACGACGTCCCAGATCTCAACTCTCCCAGAAAGGGGTTGTGGACCAGAACTATAACACGATTCACCCACAGCTTCGGCAGCAGAATACGACCTCAGTTCCTGGATCTAGACGCGAAGTATGTATGGCCCTGTGGGCAAATAGAGATAACTTGGCATCTTCCCCCTTAGACTAAAAGTCCTTAGTAGGGTTTTAAGTACCCCTACTGTAAACCCTAAACCCTAAACCCTAATCCCTACGAAGGACTGCTAGTATAAGAGGGCACATCCCAAGAGTTAACCCTTGCTGACCAGGCCGGCCACGCTGGCACTGAACCCCAAGGCAGCGAGCTCCAGGGGAATCTTCGGAATTTGTCGGGTTTAGGGTTTAGGGTTTAGGGTTTAGGAAGATGAGAGTCTTGGGGATTTAGGGACACATCAAGCCCAGAAATTCTGAGCCCTAAGACCCTCTACATTCTGAAGTCTAAAACCTTGTATTTTTCAGAGGGCCTTACGGGCCATCCTAGCGAGGAGGGAGATGTTTCAAGGCGCCCCTGCATTCAAAAGCCCTGCACCTTCGGGGTTTGCAGGGCTTCCGCGCGTGCGCCATGCCCCGTGAGCATGTGTCTTCCAGGGGGTTTCGCCTAGAAAAGGGCTGTGCCAAGCAGCTTTTGAAACGGGGGGTGGCGAGACTCTAAACCCTAAAAGCCTAAGTTTTAGGGTTTCGGGTTTAGCTTACTTGGAGCTTCATGGGTAGTCATCGCTCAGGTTATGGGAAGGGTATCGGTCGGTCTGGCTGCGAACTCACTTTGGCCTAGCCTTCAGGTAAACCTCTTCTGTACCGGAGATGGGTCTGAGGACTTAGGGGTCCTCTGGTGGCTTCCTAAACCCAAGCCCTGTAAACCCTAAACCCTCAAGCTTGACGCTGGCGCCCGATACTCGCTCTTCGGAGATGGTGCTGCAGCAACCTGGGGTTGACGGTTTGGGAGTCTAAGCTCTTGGGCTCTGGCTAGTCCACCAGCCCAGTTGCAAAAGGGCCCAAGGGCTTAGGGCAAATCTTGGAGTTTTAGGGTTTCGCGGAAGCGCTTGTTAGGCTTTCTGGGGTAGGGTTCCCCAGCAAGCCTGTCCGAGACCGGATAGGCATCCAAGAAGGCCTTCGGGCCCAACAAATTTTAAAATAGGAGTCCTTAGAGCCTTAGGGGAACCTTTGCCCTAAACTCTGAAGTTGGCGCCTCCATGCTTTGCAGGTAAAGCTTCCGGCCAAGGAGGCTGGGACGGAAGCTTGTTTAGGGTTGGGGTTAGGGGGTGGGGGGGGGGGGGTTTGGGTTTAGGGCTTAGAGCTTAGGGTTGGTGTTAGCGGAGGGAAGGGGGGGGGGGGTTTGGAGGTTGAACCCTTAACCCTACACAAACCGTTTGTGCCGCAGCCGCAAGCTCTGCACTGCAGTGACTAGCGGGGAGAGGGCAAGGGTGGGATTTCAGCTTCAGGGTTGGAGGGTACAGGCCTGGAGGCAAAAGGGTTTAGGGTTTAGAGGGTTGCTGGTTGGGCCTCCTAAACCCTAAACCCTAAACCCTGAACCCTAAACCCTAAAGCTTTTGCCCTCGAAGCCTCGATCCGGCTGCAAAACCGCGGAGGAATTCTTCGAAGACCCTGGTGCCATACTGGAGAAGCCTGATGCTAAGCATGGCAGCTTTGCTTTCGGTTTCCGGGTTGAAAAGGGTTGAAGGTAGCCCAAATCAGAATGCTTGCCTCATATAACCCCAGGGTTTGCGGTTTTTTGTAGGTCTAAACCTCAAACTGCAATATCGCGAGCCTTGCATGCCTTGCAACTTGGTGTGAGAGAGCGGAAGCGGCCCAAACTGAATGGCTCTTGAGTTCCTAAACCCTAAACCCCAAATCTCTTAAGCCCTAAACCCTAAACCCTAAACCCTAAACCCTAAACCCTAAACCCTAAACCCTAAACCCTAAACCCTAAACCCCCCAAAAGCCCTAAAAGGCCCGGCATCAGCTTGGCCTTCCGGAACCTGCATCCAGCCACCGCCTTGGTCATCGGCCTTCTGGGAGCTGGAAGACCTTCTTGGGGTTTAGGGTTTAGGGTTTAGGGTTTAGGGTTTAGGTCCATGTATCTCCTATCTACGATCTATCTGACGATCTGCTTATCTGACCACCTTACGCCTCTAAATCAATGGCCTTACCTGGTTGCAGGTACCCGCTTTTTGTTGCAGCATGCTGACCCTGCCCTTCAATCCTAATCCCTGAACCCTAAAACGTAAGTAATTAGACCCTGAACCCTAAAACGTAGGTAGACAGACCCCGCCCAGGTGAAGTCGCGGCAGCGGCAGTGTTTCGGTGCCACGTCACGCTCTTGCTGGAAGAGCGGGGTGCTCAAGGGTTTAGGGTTTAGGGGAGCTCACCAACCCTACTTGGAGGTTCATGGGTACTTATAACCCGAATTATAACTGTACTTATAATCTACCTCGGGGACTTTGGGGGCTTATAAGTAAGCGAACTCAAGCCTCTCCCGAGAACCCTGTAGGAGGATCCAAAAGTAGATCCCCGGTTCCCTACAAAATGACCCAAGAGTAGGTATAGGGTACGGTTTGGGGGTTCTACCATTTTGGATCCTCCCAGGGGTCTGGGTCAGGGCTTGTCGGGTTTCAGGGTTTTTGGGGTAAACCCTAAACATTCAAACCCCCCAGTCCGAAACTCAAAACCCCAAGTATAGGGTTCAGGGTTCATCAAGTTACACGGTTCCCTACAATGGGTAGGGTCTACAAGGAGCCCCCCCCCCCCCCCCCCCCGGTACTGTACTAGCTGCAGTTCAGGGGCTTATAAGCTAAGGATCCTTCCAACCCAATTCATGGTCCTTATGACTCTACTTAGAACGAGGGGGGGGCCCTACCCCTAAACGCTCAACCCTAAACCCTAAACCCTTAGAAATCTACTTATAGCCAGGGGGGCCCTCCTTGTGTAAGGGGTACAGAATTCAGGGTCCATCTTGGAGGGCCCCCTTAGGGTTTAGGGTTTAGGGCGCTTTTTGGTTTAGGGGTTTTAGGCTGCGGGGGTGCCCAACACCTGGGCCAAAAAGGTGTCAGGGTGCAGGGTTCAGGGTTGAGTGTTTTGGGAACCCTAAACCCTAAACCCTAAACCCTAAACCCTAAACCCTAAACCCTAAACCCTAAACCCTAAACCCTCTCAACCCCGGGCTGGGTCGAACAATATTCGCCCCCGGCAGTCTCTCTAAGTGATAGGACCCAGATGTCTTGACATATACCAACAACTCGAGCCCTCGACCCTGAACCCCTGGGTTTAGGGTTTAGGGTTTAGGGTTTAGGGTTTAGGGTTTAGGGTTTAGGGTTTAGGGTTTAGACCCTGAATCCATGACCCCACAGCCCACAACCCGAAACCCTGAAAATCGCAGCCTGGGTAAGGTCTCGAGATTCCCGGTGACTACTGCGAGTTCGAGCCAAGAGCTCAGGTAAACCGTAAACCCTAAACCTTACTAGGCAGGCCTTTGGGAAACTTTTGATTTTCCCTGATTGTGTTTAGGGTTTAGGGTTTAGGGTTTAGTTTAAGAGGATCATGTTCAAGGATCTTGTTCAGATGGTTTTAGGGCCCATCCTAGCTTTTAAGCCCTAGACCACCCTAAACTGGAGATCAATGATGGCCCATATCTCTGGGGTACTTAGTTGGGGGATAGGGAAAGCATATATAGGATTTGCTGGCTATTGTTTTGTGGACGGTATGATGACCACCGACATTTGGCGCAGACTTTCGCTTTCTGACTTGGGCTTGCGCAAAGCGCTCTCTCTGCAGTTGCCCCGTGGAGCATGGCTAGAAGAGTGGCAAACAAGCACCCTAAACCCGAAACCCTAAACCCTAAACCCTGCACCCTAAACATCAAGCTCGACTTTTTGTTTCGGGGGGGGGGGAGTATGGGGGGGGGGGGGGGGGGGGGTTGGTTTTTAGGGTTTCGGTTCTGTTTCTGATCCCATGTTGGGGCTTCTGATGCTGATTCAACATGCCGAGCATATGTGTGTATATACGTACATGTATAACTGCCCGCTCGAGTCCTCAGCTGAACGTGAAGTTCGTAAACAAGCGTCAACTCACAAAGGGCGGGGGAGGTTCCAGTCGGACGGCGACGGCGCCGGCTACCCGGAGCAGCGCTGGGGCTTCTGGGCGCTGGTGGCGCAGAAGCCGATTCAGGACTTGCTAAGGGCGTTTAGGGTTTAGGGTTTAGGGCAATGGAAACCCGAAGGTGAACAACCTAAAGGTTCACTTGCACTGGAGCCCTCAAGAGCAATTGCAGGGTTCTGCTACGCGGATGATGACCCTACATCCTAAACCCTAAGCCCGAAGCCCCAAACCCCAAAAACCCTAAACCGCGGCTGCGCACTTGCCATCTTGAAACCTGACACAATGGGGCCCGAACCCAACCCCAAAGCCACAGAGGAAGCCCCTAAACCCCTAAAAGCCTAAACCCTAAACCCCTTGAACCCCCAGGGCCATAAAGGAAGTGATCCCAGGATGAGAAACCAGAGGAGTGCGTGATGCTCGAGGTTGAGAAGAAAGAGGCTGCTGACGAACTGTTTGCGGTTTGGAGAGGGTTTGGGGTCTAGGGCGTGGCGCAGCATCTTCGGTTCGCAAGAAGTTTTACGAGATTTCATTAAGATCACTGACTCTGTCCGTGCTCAGGTATACTAGGACCCGGAGTAGGCAGCTATTTCCTTTTTTTAGGGTTGAGGTTCCCATTTTATCCCGTTAAGAACCCAAAAAAGGTACCCTTTTTTATTACTAGGTTACTCCTGGGTCTAGTATATGGCTCAGCTGTCGAGGTTGTAGATGCGGCGTCCGTAGTCTGCCAAACCCTGAACCTCTCAAGGTCTGCGAAGAGATGCACCCCCTGATTCATGTTCAGCCCACTAACCGCCAATTAGGTTTAGGGTTTAGGGTTTAGGGTTTAGGGTTTAGGGTTTAGGGTTTCCAGGGCATGAAAGACTAGATGCCCACCCTACAGTCCCCAAGACCTTAACCTGCAACGCCCGAAACACGAACTTCAATCCTTCAACCCTAAACCCTAAATCCTGAGCCCTGGACGCACATCCTCAGGGCCAGCTCCTGGGCATCTCAACCATTGAGTCTCGGTTTGCACTTCGCTGTGGCAAGCCCCCCAAACTCTGCCAAGCAAAAAACCTTCCGTCAACGCAAAAAGGGGCACCCCTACACCCTGAACCCCCATGTTCATTCCTAGGTTACTCTTGGGGTCTAGGAAGGGCTTCGGGCTGGAGGAAGTGGAGCTGAGGGGAAAGGCTTCAGAGGTTAATACATTCGAAAATAAAAGATGAAAAAAACATTAAAAAAACTTGAAAAAAACTAAAAACAATTAAAAAATAAGAAGTGTACCTAGAGGAACCTTTGGTCCATCTCAAGGACGTGGAAGGAATGTGTGTGGTGTCGGACATCGTCGACGGCCGCGCGCTTAGTGTGCAAAAGGCGGCTGAGAAATGGGGCTTGCTCTACTTGAAGGTTCATCCCTAAACCCTAAACCCTAAACCCTAAACCTTGAGCCCTGAGCCCTAAGTCGCAGAGGAAAGATTGAATGCCCGCCCTTCCGGAAGCTGGAGACAGCAGATGTCCCAAGATGAGCGTTTGCACTATCGCCTACACCCTACAGTCTCCTTGCCATCGAACCCAAAGCTCCTTAATCTTACTTAGCCAATAGTTGAACTTTAAACTTTTTGGGTTTCCTTATTCAGAAAGTGTTACCTTTTTTGCCCTGGGCTATTGGAGAAGTAAGTGCTTCTATGGTTGCTTTGGTTATGGAATCTCTCATACAAGCCCCCTTGAGCTGCCCTTTCCGGAGCTGTGTCTGCTCAGGTCCGGTCAAGGCAGCCCCCCTTCGCTGTTAATTTTTGGTGGCCAGGGTACAGGGCGTGGGCTTTTGGGGTTTACACCGGGTTTCGGGTTTAAGATTTAGGGCTTAGGGTTTTTCACAGAGGATTCTGTGAAGAAGGTTTAGGGATATTGGGTTTCCGGTTGCTTCCCCATGCAGTGGGCAGAAACGCGGCACAGATGGGAGGTTAACTTAGGAGTCTGGGAGCTTCAGAGGAGACTCTTAGGGTTTCGGCTTTAGGGCTTACCTCCCACCCAGTGCGAGCTCACATATGTATATCTATATACACACACCCCTTTTCAAAATACCCCATGGAATTCTGAAAGGCCCAAGTAGTAGGCAACCAGAAATGGCCACTATTTCAGCCTTGTAGCGGCTTCATACGGGTCCATTCTTTACTTGGAGGTTCATGGTACTAAATCACCAGTTGTAACTGCACTTATAGCTGTATCTACAACCATATGAGGGCACTTAAGGGGCTTAGAAGTGAGTTACAAGTACAGCTGTCATTGGCTAATAAGTACCATGAAAGTAGTCTCTTGAGGCTTACAGGGTTTAGGTTTTGGCTCTCCTGGCTTGCTTGACCTAGGCTTAAGCTCTGTGGCTTCTGCTGGGGTATTCAGGGGATACTTGGGGTGTATAGGATTTAGGGCTTTGAGGGGTTTAGGGTTTAGGGTTTAGGGTTTGGGCGGTTTTCTACACTGGGGGTTCCCCCGGCAGTTTCGCAAGTAGCTGGCCGGGCAGGCATGGAACGAGGCAAATCCAGACAAGGTCCTCAAGATTCATGCGCCCCGGCTAGGGTTAAGGGTTTATGTGGGGTTCGCGGTTTAGGGTTTAGGGACAAGGGTTTGGGGTTCAGGGTTTAGGGGTTAGGGTTAGGGGTCTCTGCGTCCCCACATGACTCTGACGACATGCCATCCTCCCTTTAGCCCCTTAAGGCCTGCAGGGTTTAGGTTAGGTTTTATAGTTTTTTTTGCCTAGGTTTTTTTATAGGTTGCGCATTGACTTGACAGGTTGGTTTAATCGGGTTTTATAGGTTTTTATAGGGATATTACACGGTTTACAGGGTTTTTACAGGGTTTGTGGGGTTTACAGGGTTCCTCGAGCTAAGGACTGCATCACAGAAGTCAACGGCGTCAAGGACCACCTGAAGCCAGACCAGGGTCTAGGGGTTTGGGGGTTTGGGGGGGGGGTTTAGGGTTTAGGGGTTTAGGGGTTTAGGGGTTCAGGGGTTTAGGGGTTTAGGGGTCTGGGGGTCTGGGGGTCTGGGGGTCAGTGGCCTGGATGTATAAAAGAGGGGGTTTAGGGTTCGGGGTTTAGGATTTAGAGTTACCAAAATGTTAGAAAGGCTATATAGGGTATGTAGCGCAGAAGCTGTGAAGGTTGGGATGACCCCCTAGCTTCGAAAGCCGAAATGCGCCGAGCAGCCATGGCCAGATTGTGGAGGGCCATTAGGGTTTAGGGTTTAGGGTTTAGGGTTTAGGGCTTTTATCCCATCCCGCGCCGTCTCAGGCGACAAGACCCTAGCCTATTCCTTTTGGGTTTCAGCCTAAACTCAGTTCACTTGCCTGCTTCCAAAGTACTTCCTCGATCCACAGGTTGAGGGGCTTCCTTCACAAAGCCCTGATTTAGTGTCTGTGCGGGGGAGGGGGGGGGGGGCACGACAGGATTCGGAAAAAAAAAGGCCGATTCCAGTGACAATTGTGCACAGATCCTGCAGATTTTGCGGCTTCCAAGAGCCTTGAAGGTCCGAATACCCCGAGCGTTTCCAGACAGGTCTTAGGGTGCTCCCAGACATGGCCAAACGTAACCAACCCCAAAAAGGGCACCCTGATTACAATATCCTTACTGGGCTACCCAGAGCTTTGGGGGGGGGGGGGGGGGGGGGGGGGGGGGGGGGGGGGAATTTCCTCTGCAGCTTTGTTCGTGTGCCGTAGAGGTCGGGGGGCCTGCAGGCCCCAGAGCAGCGGGGAGGCCCCAGCCTTGCTGCGTTTAGGGCCCAAGGACTTCAAGAGCCTAGCTATCCCTGATGTTTCTGATAGAATCCCCCGACGTGTCATATGGTCCATTCTGGTGAAACAGGCCCCTCTACTGCACCTTGCAGACCCCGCCAACGAGTCTTGTGGAAGACTGCGCCCACTCCCACCCCAGAACATGGTCCCAAAAGCTGTAGGGTTTAGGGTTTAGGGCTTTTGTTGCTAGGTTCCTAGGGTTCCTGCAAAACCCCACAAAGCCGACCCTTGTTTAACGCCTAGCTCAGTGCTTTCATGTAGGGGGCGGCCCTCGGGCTCTCTCGCTGGGAAGAGGTTCTGTCGGCGCGCAAACACCCTAAACCCTAAACCCTAAACCCTGAACCCTGAACCCGATACCCTAAACCCTAAACCGTGCACGTGCGCAGGATTCCTATGAAAACATACTCAATGAGCTGCGGAAGTTCCAGATACACAAAATCGCACTGGCCTGAGACCTTTCAGCTTGTCCTGTGATGGGCATCGGAACAGATAGCCTCCGATGAGATCCACTTAGTGCTTGACTGCGCTCGGGCTTCGGTTACCCTAAACCCTAAACCCTAAACCCTAAACCCTAAACCCTAAACCCTAAACCCTAAACCCTAAACCCTATAAACCCGAAACCCCAAAGTGCCGTGCCAAGGTGGCAAAGAAGACCAAGATCCCCTTCTGCTCGCAAGGCGCGCGCCTTAAACAAACCTACTGGCCCCTACAAGCTTTAGCAGAGTCCGTTTAGGGTTTAGGGTTTAGGGTTTAGGGTTTAGGGTTTAGGGTTTAGGGTTTAGGGTTTAGGGTTTAGGGTTTAGGGTTTAGGGTTTAGGGTTCTCCTCAACCCGAAAAGGCAGGGCCTTGAAGCCTCAGGTTTGCACGTTTTTTCGAGTATGGCGCTGCCAACGCCCCAAGGCAGACTGTCCCAGGCTGAGGAGAAGCTTCAGCCGATCGTAGAGTCCCTAAACCCTAAACCCCAAGCCCTAAACCCCAAACCCCAAGCCCTAAACCCTAAACCCCAAACCCTAAACCCTAAACCCCAAGCCCTAAGCCTTAAACCCTATGCCCTAAACCTTCAACCTGCACTTCGAGATTTGTGGGTTTGCATGGCAGGGGATGGAAACGAGGGTGACTGTAGCAAGTGTTGGCAGCTTTTTTTCTTTTGGGAGTACAGAATTTTTAATATACTTGGGTCCCAAGTTCCCTATGTAGCAAGTATTTTAGGGCCCAAGTATTCCCTATTTAGGTACATGGGCCCTTAGGGTTACTACTCCTGCATGTGCTTAGGGTTCTGGGTTACCCATGCCAATGGTGTTCGTGGCAATCTTGCATTGTGCTGAAACAATCAAAGCCTAAACCCTAAACCCTAAACCCTGAACCCTGAACCCTGAACCCTGAACCCTGAGCGACTCCCGGCCAGGACACGTGCTGAGGCCAGATCCCCGCGTGTTTAACAGGCGCGGAATGGGGCAGGCTTGGGGTAAAGGGTCGGCAGAACCCTACTTGGAGGTTCAAGGGTTTAGGGTTTAGGGTTTAGGGTTTAGGGTTTAGGGTTTAGGGGGTACTTTCTACCCCAAGCAGAGGCGGCACTTCGCAGCCGCGAAGGGCCCCCTAAGTAGGTTAGAAGCAGGCGCTTGATTCGGGTTAGAAGTACGAGAAAACCTGAATTCAATCCCACATAAGAGGCACCTTGAGGTCCCCTGAAACCCACACAGCAGCACTGCTGGGCCCCTGAACAGGTTTAGGGTTCAGGGTTCAGGGTTTAGGGTTTAGGGTTTAGGGTTCAGGGTTCAGGGTTTAGGGTTTAGGGTTTAGGGTTTAGGGTTTAGGGGTTAGGGTTTAGGGTTTAGGGTTTAGGGTTCGAAGAGAGTTTAAAGTCTATTACCCCTTATTATCTGTGTGATCCTTTTAAATTCCGTAAGAATTCAGTGCTTACAAGGCCCCCAAACCTACCCTTTTGTCAATCTTCGTCTAAAAGTACCTGGAAGCGTGAAAAGTTCCGGGATCTCCGCCTGGAGGCCTCCATTCCTTGAATTGGGCGTTGGACAGAGCGACCTGGTGTCCTAAACCCTAAACCCTAAACCCTAAACCCTAATCCCTAAACCCTAAACTTAAACCCCAACCATGCACCAGTTCTTGCATGTCAAGAGGCCTCGGATTCCTGCAGCGTGGCACTCTGCACATCCCGACGCCTATGTGCCCTAAACCCTAAACCCTAAACCCTAAACGCTAAACCCTAAACCCTAAACCCTAAACCCTAAACCCTAAACCCTAAACCCTAAACCCTAAACCCTAAACCCTAACCCCCCCCCCCACCCCCCCACCCCTGACGTGCGGCAGTTGTGACGTGTGCGGCGTGTCGGGAACCGAGCCGCCGCCTCAGTACTTTGCCGGGATGCCGAATGCGCCGGACTGCGGAAGTCTGAGCCCGAAGCCCTAAGCCCTAAACCCTAAACCCTAAACCCTAAACCCTAAACTCTAAACCCTAAACCCTAAACCCTAACCCCAAACCCTAACCCCGGAATATTGAAGGCCGAGACAGACCACGATCAGGCTTCGGGTCTAGGGGTGGTTGGAGGGAGATGTACTTAGACCCCCAAAGTACCCAAAGTAAGTAGAAAGGGTCGCATGCCAGCAATAAGGAACAAGCAGAAGGCCGTTTTGTGGGTCCTTGGGGGGCCTTTTCTTTGTCATAGTTGGGTACCATTTTGCATTTTTAAGGGTACTTAAACCCTGTATGGGAAATAAATTCGAGTCTTTAATATTAGCCCAACCATGAACTAGTCTTGGTAGAGGCTCAGGAGGTTTGGGTGCTAATCAGGCTATCGTTCATCATTAAAAGAACTGGAAGAATCGGAATCATGATAAGATTCGCACCAGTAGGAATAAGAACGGTACTCATAGCCCTAAACCCTAAATCCTAAACCCTAAACCCTAAACCCAGGTGGCGGTGTCCTTCCGGCTGTGCAGGGACCTCAGCTGCGTCTCCGTATATCGGCCGCCTCGCGACCCGAATCGTATCTGGACCTGCCGTTGTAGTTCCTGCAAGGTTTAGGGTTTAGGGTTTAGGGTTTATTGTGTAGGGTTTAGGGTTTAGGGTTTAGTTTAGGGCTTAGGGTGTAGGGGTATACCAAGAAATCCAAAAGAACAGAGGCATTCCCAAAAGGAGCTGCAAGTAGAGGTCTATAGGATGAGCCTTGTATTTCTTAGCACAGTTCCGGGTTACCATGAAGTGATGAACGCATCAATTCTGAGCCCTGACGCATACCTTGGAGGTCAAGGGCATATTGTCTTGGACCCAGAGTAGGCCCTTATTTCCTTCTTAGAAGGGCCTACTAGGTGCCCCTTGAGCCCCGTTAAAGCAATTGGGCCAGCCCTTTTTTATTCCTAGGTGCATCTTGTCCAAGCGGTTTAGGGTCTAGGACTTAGGGTGTAGGCTTTAGGGTTTAGGGTTTAGGGCCTGGTACGCGCCAAGGACTACGACATGTGCCTGTCCCGACCTTAGATCGGCCTCATTCGGTATCAAGTCGGCTGAGAGACCCAAAGCCCTAAAGCCTACACCTCCAGAAGCCATCCTAAACCCTAAACCCTAAACCCTAAACCCTAAACCCTAAACCCTAAACCCTAAACCCTAAACCCTAAACCGTTTGGATCTGGCATTTCCAATCATCGTCCCCGCAACGAAGCAGGCCAGCCCTAAAAGCCCGAGTCTAGATCGGAGTACAAACCGCAGTTGCAGCTAGCAAAGGCCCAGGAACATGTGAGGTGTGGTGTTTCAGGGATTTAGGTTTGGGGTTTAGGGTTTAGGGTTTTGGGTTCCCTGAGGCGTGGTGCTTCAGGGATTTAGGTTTAGGGTTTAGGATTTAGGGTTTAGGGTTGTGGGGGGTTAGTAGCTGCCTCCCGCATCCTCTCGGCGACTGACCGTCCAGCCAACATGGGGCTTGCTAGGGTTCAATGATTTAACAGAAGACCCGGATGCACAACAGGGTTTAAAGGGTTTAAAAATTTATTAGGGGCTCAGAGAGGCCCGGATGTAAAAAAGGCGTTTACCCCTGGGTCTATGTCACCCCTGGGTCCATGCTACCTCGGGAGTCTATGGCCGCAGGAGCTGCTACCGTGACGTGACGGGTGGCGACGTCTCTAGTCCTGTAGAGGCGCCGGCACGTTGCAGGGTAAACCCTAAACCCTAAACCCTAAACCCTAAACCCTAAACCCTAAACCCTAAACCCTAAACCCTGTCCCCTGCAACTCCGGGTTCTCGGCGTGGGCTTGCTCCTTAACTTGGTAGCCCAGTGGTACCCTTTACCCTTTGTGTTTGTTATGGGTTCCCTTATAAATGGCCAACCCCAAAAAGTCTGCCCTTATTCAAATAATATGGCTACTAGGCTACCTTAAGCTACGTATGCGTCATGTCTGTGCTTAGGCTCAGTCTTTGAGGGGCCATGACAATCTCGAGGCCTTGTGCCGTTCAAACATGTCTATGAGACTTTTTTTAGAACATGTTAGAACCAATCTGCCTTTACCTCAACTCCAAATCATCCCGAATTCCCCCCTGTCGATATGGACCTGCTATGCGCATCTCTGCGCCGTGCACCCCCAAGTGGGCTGCGGAGGATGTAGACGCCTTCGCGCAGAGGCGAGTGGAGGCGCGTTTGGTGGCGCATGCTGCGGGGGCTCCTGATATGAAGGGGTTCTTCAGGAGAGAGGTGGGGCCCCAAGTTGCCTTAAAAAACACGAAGAAACATGGGGTCCCCCCCCCCCCCCCCCTTGTCACCCCTCTTTTTCTCAAGGACCCCGATGATTGCCTGCACTGGTAGGAAGTCATTGGCCTGATGGTTTGCATGCTCTGCTAAAATGGCTGCACACCCTTGTCGCAAGTCTGTCGTATGCCGTTGGTGTCGTTGGTGTCGACGCAGTCATGGAGGACAGGCGGCTGAAGGTTGCAGGGGTTCAGGCGCGGTAACTTGCATTGCCGAGATGATCGGCATGCTCCTAGTGTACGAAGCTTGAGCTTGGAGGTGGTGTGCCGGGGTGAAGGCAATCAGTCCGACCCACAGGCAGCTGGCTCAGCATGCTTTTACGGGGCCTTCACTTACTTTGCCAATAGTTGAACTTTGAACTTTTTGGGTTTCTTATTTTCAGAAGGAGTAAAGAAGTCTTACCTGTTTTGCCCTGGGTTATTGGAGAAGTGAGTTCAGGAGGCTCTTTCGACTGAGGGGGCAGTCGGACATTTCACGCCAAAGGGTCTGTGTCAAGTACTTCGGTGTATCTCTTAGCCCATGCTGCGGCAGGAGAGATGCCGTCCTTGGACTACGCATGTGCAGAGTTTTACAGGAGGCGCACTTGTACGAATCCACGCAAGTCAAGTCTCTCTTGGAACACCAGGAATCTCGTGCTTTGGATTGCCGGGGAGGAGCATGCCGGCCAGTTGCTTCCACTTGAAAGTGTCTGTCCGGTACCCGTAGTTTAGGGTTTAGGCTTGCGGGTTTAGGGTTCAGGGCTACTAGGACCCAGAGTCGGCCCTTTTTTCCCTTTTTGTTAGGGGTTTAGGTTCCCTTACAAGCCCCGATTGAAGGTCGAACAAGTGCGCGCTTTTTATTCCTAGGGTACTCTTGGGTCTAGCCATGATACAAAAATCACCTCCATACATCCTATCATGCCTTTAGTAAACCCCAGAATCCCTCAGGCCCAATACCTTAAAAACCCAAACGCCCTAACCCCCAACACCCTAATCCCACCCTAATTAAACCCTAAACCCTAACCCCAAAGCCTAAACCCCTTTGTCTCGGCTCAGCCCAGGTCGAGCGCGATAGCTGGGACGAGCAGCGCCTCCGCAAACTCTGCGCACGACATGGCTGGGCTTGGGCCTTGGGAGTAGGGTTTATAGGGTTTAGAGTTTAGGGGTTGCTATGACATCCAGCATGAACGCTGACTTCGTCAGCGCTTGAAATGCATATGCCCTAAACCCTATCTCTTGGACTCTGATTTTGATACTTTTTGCTTTCTCTGGAGTAGCCCAGTGGAGCAGTGCCAGACGGGTGGCAGAAGAACCCTGAGGTTTAACCCTAAACCCTAAACCCTAAACCCTAAGCCCTAAGCCCTAAACCCTAAACCCTAAACCCTAAACCCTAAACCCTAAACCCTAAACCCTAAACCCTAAACCCTAAACCCTAAACCCTAAACCCTAAACCCTAACCCTAAGTCCTAAGTCCTAAGTCCCAAGTCCCAAGTCCTAAGTCCAAAGTCCAAAGTCCAAAGTCCTAGTCCTGCCTGAGCCCCAAACACCGTTGTCGCAACGCGTTCTCGGCTGCAACTGCATCAGCTTTGGGGGCACGGCTCTGGGTTTAGGGTTTAGGGTTTAGGGTTTAGGGCTCAGGGTTTAGGGCTCAGGATTTAGGGTTTAGGGTTTAGGGTGCGACTCAGGACTTCGAATGGATGACGGAGGACAGGGGTGGGGAATCGCACGTCAGGCACACAGGAACCCTAAACCCTAGACCCTAGACCCTAGACCCTAAACCCTAAACCCTAAACCCTAAACCCTAAACCCTAAACCTCCAACTCAAACCCCAACAGAGCACCCGCTGCAAGATGCGCCCGAGGTGGGGAAGCCCACTCTTGAAGGTTTGTGGGGATTTCTGACTCGGGGTCAGGGTTTTGCTAATGCTAACCTTACAGGTAAAAGACCCCAAACCCTAAACCCTAAACCCTAAACCCTAAACCCTAAACCCTAAACCCTAAACCCTAAACCCTAAACCCTAAACCCTAAACCCTAAACCCTAAACCCTAAACCCTAAACCCAACCCAACCTTGTAACTTGCAAGCCTTGAACCATGCGCACGAAGTAGGGGCTCAACTCGGAGTACTCAACCTTCACGCACAGCGCAGGTTGCTTTGAAAGACCTCAAACCCTACAAACCCAGGGTTTAGGGTTTAGGGTTTAGGGTTTAGGGTTTAGGGTTTAGGGTTAGGGTTTAGGGTTTAGGGTTTAGGGTTTAGGGTTTAGGGACCATATAAACCCTGTAATTAAACCCTAGACCCTCCGAAGCCCTCACCCTCAAACTTGAACTCCTAAAGTCCTAAGGGTTTAATTCGGGTTTAGGGCTCCGGGTTCCCCCCCCCCATCCCGAACCCTCCTTGGAGGTTCATGAGTAGGGTTTAGGGTTTAGGGTTTAGGGTTTAGGGTTTAGGCTGAGTGAACGCTTACTGATCACCGACTTAGGGGGCTCATAAGTGCAGATCGAATTGGGGTTAGAAGTACCCATGAACCTCCAAGTAAGCCCTAAACCCTAAACCCTAAACCCTAAACCCTAAACCCTAAACCCTAAACCCTAAACCCTAAACCCTAAACCCTAAACCCTAAGCCCGCACCTCTGCCAGGACGGCGAGCGGCGGCGCCGTGCCGACGAGCGGCTCACAGAATGGAAGCTTGAGGCGCCAGGGTCTTTTTTGAGGGGAGGGTTTAGGGTTTAGGGTTTAGGGTTTAGGGTTTAGGGTTTAGGGTTTAGGGTTTAGGGTTTAGGGTTTAGGGTTTAGGGTTTAGGGTTTAGGGTTTAGGGTGCTTGCTGTCCGACCCAGGCGTGGTTAAAGGGAAAAAGGGTTAGTTGGTTAGGGTTTGTAGTTTTAGTTATTTTTGCAAAGGGTTGGCTTTGCGCTCCCGGCGGATTTCAACAATTCCTTCTGAACAAAGGGTCCAGGAGGCCTCCATGTTCATGGGAGGCCCTCCCCTAAGAACCCTATAATGTCGGGTTTGGGGCTGGGGAGCGACCCTGAACTTCGTGGGTGTTTAACAGCCGATTGATGCCAAACTTCTGCCGGGCAACTCCCTTCTGGAGATTCCGGGTGCAGGGTTTAGGACTGTTTGCCGTAGTGCAGAGCCCCTGTAGAATCAGTAGGCAACGTGCAAAGTTTAGGAGGGTTTAGGGTTTAGGGTTTAGGGTTTGCACTAGGCGCAGCGCTTCTGAGGATGCTGAAGATGCATGGGACTTCCTAGCTACCCAGAGTAGGCCCTTTTGAGGGTTTAGGGTTTAGGGTTCAGGGTTTAGGGTTTAGGTTCCCCTAGAAGCCCCCTTAAACCAGAAAGGGGGTACCCTGTTTATTCCTAGATGCTCTTGAGTCTAGTGACTGTCTCCTACTTACACTTCCAAGCTGCCCTTACATAGTTTGCCCCAATGGTGCCCAAGAGGCAGGCGGAACACAACCCCGGCAATGACTTCACGCGCGAAGCCCCGTAATCCGCAAACCCTAAACTTTAAGCCCCAACCCGAAACCCCAAAGCCCTTAAACCCTTAAACCCTGAACCCTGAACCCAACCCCCAAAAACCTATGTGTGGTAGCCCTAAACCCTAAACCCTAACCCTAAACCCTAAACACTAAACCCTAAACCCTAAACCCTAAACCCTAAACCCACACCCCAAAACCTCCCCCCCCCCAGGAGTCCATGGCTGCCTTCTTGCAAGAGGAGGGGCCCTGCCTTGGGAGACTTTCTGGCCTCTGGGTTTAGGGTTTAGGGTTTAGGGTTTAGGGTTCAGGGCTAGGGTTTAGGGGCCACCCCCAGAGGTTTCCGGGCCGAATGTTGCGCAGACGGGTTCATGAACAAACTGTTAGTACAAGGGGGAACATTCCGAGTTACGTCTGAATGTCGCAGGACGCACAGGAGCCCGACCAGCAAAACATGAAGCCAGTCGAGGACCCGATTGGGTTTTGTAAGGCATCCTTATACTACTACTACTACTACTACTACTACTACTACTACTACTACTACTACTACTACTACTACTACTACTACTACTACTACTACTACTACTACTACTACTACTACTACTACTGCTACTGCTACTGCTACTGCTACTGCTACTGCTACTGCTACTGCTACTGCTACTGCTACTACTGCTATTACTGCTACTACTACTACTACTACTACTACTCCTACTACTACCACCTTCAGAACTGCAAAGACATGTAAGACAATAATCCCCACATTGCCCTTAGAAAGAAGAATATTTTTGGCCGTGGTTCTTAAGCACATAGTAGTATACGAGGCTTTAGTTCTTTGGGGGAGCGAGTGTTGCCTTGGACACGAATCTCTAGAGCTCTAAAACATGGGGAGGTATATGCCTGCGTGCCGTTTTGCTCCTTCACTTGCGCCAGAGGAGTGGTTCGCAAACCCTCAACCCGCAACCCCCAGACCCTAAACCCTAAGCCCTAAACCCTAAACCTTAAACTCTAAACCCTAAACCCTAAACCCTAAGCCCTAAGCCCTAAACACAAACCTCTTCGGTTGGTGGGTGATAGCCGTGCGTCTCTAGTTCTTGCTGCGAGCCACTCTTGTTGCGAGCAGGTGGAAAGGTTTCAGGGCTTTAGGGCTTAGGGTTTCAGGGTTGTGGGGCTTCCAGAGATCGAAGGGCAGTTATAATATGGTCCGGTACAAGGTACCCCTTAAACCCTACACGCCCTAAAGCCCAAGAAACCCCACACCCTGGACCCTAGACCCTAAACCCACTGGTGTCGTTCTCGGACACAGGAAGAGGCCGAACCTCCGAAATTGCTCCGCGTGGCCTCCTGATTTGGGCACAGATGCGAGTTGAGGGACGAAGCCCTACTGGCCCTTGGGGGAGGGTTCTACTTCGACTGAGCCTATATATCGAGGAAAGCATGATGCAAAATGTAAGGCTTACTTGCAGGTCAATGCTGACAGAGGGCCTAAGTTCCAAGCGATCGTTGACTTCGCCGGAGTGGTTGCTTAGGGGGCTGTTTTGTCTAGCATGCTTCTGCAAGTTCTGCATGGAGGGAATGCAAAAATCATGCGTTCCTGCCATGACTGGATGGCAGCGTGCATACCTTGCGTTCCATCAGTTCATGCGAACCCCAGTCGAGCGCATCTTCCACACTTGTCCTGGCACCTTTGCCTGGTGTGCACTGTGCCACATCGCATGCTGCTGCTGCTGCTGCTTGTCTGGGCAGCCCACCCATCCTCACAAAGTTGGGGAAGTGCTTGGATAGACTGACAAATGTTGTGAAGTCGTCTGCTGTCCCTCCAAGTGAGTGCATGCCCAGCTGATATCCCCTTAGCTGACTTGCCAACTTACAGCGTTCCGTTGTTACACGTCTTACCTCCTTATGCTCATAATATGCTGATACTCTTATGCTTTCAAATGCATTATCAATCATATCAGAGTGTTGTTTTAGTACTAAACTGAGTATCTTCTTTGTGTTCATGCTTGTCTTTCAACGTCTACCCAAGCCATTCTCACGTTGCCTGACTTTTAAGGAGTCCTTCAGGGTGCAAAGTGGCCAAGACGCCGCGATGCCAAGGTGCTAAGCGATAGCCCGGCATTGGGCAAGAAAAGCCCTGAACCAGGAGGGTTTAGGGTTTAGGATTTAAGTTTTTGTGTTTAGGTTTAGGGTTTAGGATTTGAGTTTTTGTGTTTAGGGCTTAGGGTTTAGGATTTGAGTTTTTGTGTTTAGGGTTTAGGGTTTAGGATTTGAGTTTTTGGTTTAGGGTTTAGGGATCGCAAAAGGCTTCGCAAAAGACCATCAAACGGAAAGCCTTCCTCATCACCGCTCCTCTAAAGCTGCATATAGGTGCACGTAAATGTCTTCTTGCAGCACATGTCGTGCCGCGATGGCAACTCGGCGTGCTATAGGGGGGAAAGAAGCTTGGTGTGTCGTGCTTTGGCTCACAGCTGTTGCTTCTGGTGCCGTTGTCGGCTGTTGTGGAGGTGGCTTGCATAGATTCGTCGCAAACCTGCGGCGCGCGCAAGTGCCATGTCCGTCATGAAACTGCAGACGAGTGCCCATCGCAAACCGGCTTCACCTGCCGTCTCTCGAGCGCCACATTTTTTCTACTGAGCCCCCAAAGAAGTGCGGTTAAAATCGTCGTAAGCTTTTAGGGTTTAGGGTTTAAGGTTTAGGGAACAGAAGCCGGAAGCCCAGCGGCACGCCTGCGCAACCGATGGCAGTCGAAGCGGCCTCCTCATGCCAGACTCTCAGTTTAGGGTTTAGGGTTTAGGGTTTAGGGCTTTGGGAACTCCTAAAAGAAGCCTCCTTGCGCGCCAAAATCCTCTAATATACAAAGGGGGGTACCGGGTACAGCGACCCTAAATCCTAAACCCTAAACCCTCTGGGGCAAGACCTGGGGGACATATCTTCTCATGAAGCTGCGCTGTGTAGGTGCCAACACCCCCTTGTCCAAAACACAAAGAAGACTTCAGTGGGATTTAGGGTTTAGGGGTTAAGGCTCGCACCCCTACGATTGTACGCCTAAAGTTTAAGAGTCTTTGGCAAAGGCTCCCAAAAGTCCAAGAGTACAACCTTAAGGGTCCAAGGTACAATCCCTAGATTCAGGTCACTAGAGTACTGGAGTGTTGCTAAGGAACTTCGGTGATGAGCTACCAGAATAAGGATACCTGTGATAAATCATGGCCTCTGTATGGTCATTTCTCTAGAATACGTTCGTTTTTTGGGGATCCTTAATCTCAAGGCGGCCCCTATTGTTCAGGGTACCCAAACCTAATTTATCCAACTGACCATATAGCCCGACAACCCTAAATTTAAAGCCTAAACTTAAGGGGTATAAGGAGGGACCCCTGCAAGAAGAGACCCTTAATCACATTCCCTCTATAAATGTATATATACACCTTGTATTAAACAGGGGTTAAATAGCCATACCTTATATAGCCCCCTTTCTACTGAGGTAGCCCCCAATGTAGCCCCTAAGTTCCCTTAGAAGGGTCCCTCCTTTAGTCCCTGGACAAGCCCCCTCAACACGAGCCGCTTCCAAGCGGAACTCCCCAGCCCAGAAGGGCGCTTACAGGATAGTCGCAAACGTTTCGGTTTTAGGGGCCTTATTAATTAGAACAGGGTGTCCGGGGGTTGTTATAGCATATTTATATAGGGACCATGAGGAAATACCATTAGTATTTCTTCCGACCCCTAGATTAGGTTATAGGGTTTAGGGTTTTAGGTCATAGGCCCAAAACCCTATAAACCTAACGCTACTAGGGTTTTGACCCTAACCCTAAACGCCCTATGAAGCTTTAGGGTTTAGGGCTTACGGCCCCAAAAGCCCCAAAAAGCACCAAACCCTTAAACCCAAAACCCATAAAGCCATAAACCCTAAGCCCAACAAAGCACTGCTCGCGTGTGCTCGGCGGGTGGCAAAAAGCACATGAAGCCGTAAAGCCAAAACCTTTATGAGTAGTTCTCTAAATAAGGGTCCCCTTTCGGGGTCCTTATCTTAAGGGTGCCGTATTGCATGCAGGACCCAAAAAGGGACGCTAATGTAGAGAACTGCCCAGCCACAAGCCCTAAACCCCAAGCCCTAAACCTCGGCACATGAAGAGCTCACAGAGAGACCACAACTGTGTCTCTGCGGAGTCGCGCGAGAGCAAGGGCAGTGCGGGTGGCAAAACATCCTACTGTAGACCCCTAAACCCTAGACCCTAAACCCTAAACCCTAAACCCTAAACCCCCTAGAGCCCTAAACCGACGAGCCCTGGGAGTTGCAGGGGACGAACCGCTGACCTTCGCGGCTGCTTCTCGAATCATCGAGGCCGCCTTTAGGGTTTAGGGTTTAGGGTTTAGGGTTTAGAGGGATAACCCGAAAAAACATAGAAACCCTCAACCCTATAAACCCAAACCCTCTTCACTGATTTCTCCAAATGACCCTTAGCCCTGGCGAGAAGACGGCGGCAACATCCTCAAGAGTCCAGTTTCTTTAACCCCTAAACCCTGAAAACCGAAAGATTGCGAAACTGATGTTTCCCCATCCAGCAGATCCTGGACTAAGCCGGAAACCCCAAACCGCCCCAAACCTAAGCCCGAAACCCCACACCTCGCGGTAGAGAGTACAGATGCAAGCTCTGAGCCCACAGCAAAGCATGGATCCTTGTGAGCTCTTGGGTTTAGGGTCGGTTTAGGGTTTAGGGTTCAGGGTTTAGGGTTTAGGGTTTAGGGTTTAGGGTTTAGGGTGGTCTAGGGTCTTAGGGTCTAGGAGAATTGCCCATCGCCTCCTTTTCCATGCCAGAAACCTGAAGCCTTCTTGTAAGATCATACCAGGCTGGGGTATGGGGCCCAAATGCCGGAGTCAGGACCCTCCCCTACCGGGAAAACCCTAAACCCTAAACCCTAAACCCTGAACCCTGAACCCTGAACCCTGAACCCTGAACCCTAAACCCTAAACCCTAAACCCTAAACCCAAGCCTTATAAGGAGCCGGTTGTGGTTGCCGATGGATCCAGGGCCGACGACGTGCGCCCGGGGAACGGTAAAGGCAGTGCAGAAAAGGCAGCGCACCTCTGAGACTCGTTCCTAGTCCATGTGTTAAGGGTTTAGGGTTTGGGGTTTGGGGTTTAGGGTTTAGGGTTTAGGGTTTAGGGTTTAGGGTCAGGGTTTAGGGTTTAGGGTTTAGGGTTTAGGGGTGGAGCCCAGGACTTCATGCAAGTCAGTGTTGCCGCGTTTCTCACGTCGTCCGTTTGTAGCTGCTGCAGGGCTCAGATAGGAGGTCGCGGGCCGAGCCGCACACGATCCGTCAGAGGCGCCGGGGGAGTCAGCAGAAGTATGCTGAACCTGAGGCTGCTAGGCAGATTCTCAAAGGTTGAGGGTTCACAGGGCCCCTAAGCCCACGCAAACCCTAAACCCTAAACCCTAAACCCACGCCTGCAAAGCAGGTGCACGGTGGGCGTGCTACCCTCGCACCAATGACTTTCCTGAAGGGACCTTCCCGCGGTGTGCCTGGAGTCTTCGCATCTGGGCGACAGCTGTTTTACCCGTGGAACCCTAGAAACTCGAAACCCTAAAACCCTAAAACCCTAAACCCTACACCCTAAACCCTAAACCCTATACCCTGTGTATGTTCAACTGAGTGCTGCATTCAGGGAGACGGACCGTCACTGGATGGTCTCAGCCTAAAGCCCTGAGCCATTATAACCGCTTCTGAACGAACCCCGAGACCCCTCGTTTAGGGTTTCTGGTTTAGGGTTCAGGGTTTAGGGTTTAGGGCTAGGGTTTAGGGCTTAGGGTTCCTGAAGGCCTTGAACTCGAAGCCCTCTTTGCATGTGCGAGAGGGAGCGTTGAAACGGACCCCGAATGCCCCGGAAGCCTGCGAAAGCCTAAAACCAGGCCTGAGGGTTTAGGGTTTAGGGTTTAGGGGTAATTGTACTACAGTTTTGGAACTCGGTTCCCCGAATGGTGTAGGGTTTAGGGATGCTAAATAGGGCTTTTGGGTACCGGATTCCAGAACTGTACTACAATTGGAACCTCGGAGGAACTGAAGCCTAAACCACCAGTTGCTTAAGACCCCCCCCCCAAAAAAAAAAAAAAACAAACATTCTACCTTATAAGGAACTGTTATGTTTCTTTTTTTTTTTGGGGGGGGGGGGGGGGGGTTCTTAGGCAAGTAGTAGTAAGCCCTATTTTCTCTCCAACCGTTTCAGATTCCATCTAAGAGTGCACTTGCCACCCACGCAAAGTCTTGCGGCCAATTCTGATAGGTTTTTTCTGAACGCGGACTTGGGCTTAGGCTCTAGAATAACTGTAAAAACAAGTTTCTTACAACTTGGTGGAG